CGAGACGTGGCTGTGTCCAACCAAGACATCGAACGTCGTCTGTATCAGTTAGAGAATCCGCCGGGCGATCGTGTTTCGGATGCAGAAAGCACCCATAGCAGCGATCATGCTAGTCAAACCTATTCTGGCCTAAATGGATTGATGTCCCAAGCCATGGAAGATACCGTGGGCTCTCAGCATTATGGTGATACAGCAGAAACCCAGGCTACAATTCGTGCCCAGCGGTTAGATAATGATCCCCGGGGCAGCGGAATCTCTGACAACCGGAAGCGTCAAAGCTCAATCCGAGGCTGGCAGGAGTACCTTTTTGGCTCGACCAACACAAGCCGGAAAACCAGTCGCGCCAGTAGTATTATGAGTGACGTTGGTGAAATTGGAGAAGAAGAGGCGGAGCGTCTCCGAGTGCCCAATAATCCTGCAATGCGACGCAAAGCGATTGACGAACAGCTATTCCAGCCCCCGGATGGGCCAGCGCGAAATGGACCGGCGAAGCGCATTGCTAGCACGTCCACAAATGGCGACGATGCAAGCATTCATTCACGCAAATCTTCACGATCTCTCGGCTCTTGGACTGTTAAGTTATTTGCTGGCAATCCTCAGTCGGGCAAAGAAGCAAGTGATGCTGAGTCTGCCCAGAATAAACCCCAACCCAAACGGCCAGACGGAGACAAAAGTGCTTCGTCTACACTGTCTGGCAATTCTAAGGGTTCAATGTCGGCAGTGGCTGCGCTGAAGAGGATCAACAGCAATGCTAGTATGCCTACTACTGGACGATCTGCCAGTGGATCAAGCGTTCAGGGCAAAATGAACCCTCCTGTCTCACGGCGAACTGCAGCTGGCAGCGTGTCTCAGGGCGCGGCATTGGAGACTACGGATAGAGGTGATAGAGGCTCCACAAGTCTTGGGCCTGTTGAGATGGACGCTATTTTGCCCATGGAGTCAAAACCTCCGACGCTCACGCCTATTTATAACAATTCTCAAGCGGGCGAGTTTCTCACCGACCGGTTTGGTTTCATCTATGATCAACATAGGAAGAAGCGCCAGAGAGAAGCCAATGTTACCAAGAGCAGCATTCACCGTTTAAGTATAACTGAAACTCTCGGTACTCTTCGAACCGATGATGACCCCGAAATCACAAGACTTCGGCAGGGGCCTTCCGACGGATCTCGTTCTCTGCCTGGCTCACCAGACGACCTTGACAGTGGAGCTGTTGCCATCCGTCGCTGGCAGGACTATCTGAGGATCCCATCCCGTCCCACGGAGCTATTGTCCCACACACCCTCCGCGGGCCCGATTGTCTCTTTGACCACCGCAGGAGAAAATCGCTCTCATAGCTCGTCTGTTTCATATGACAAAGACGGAGCGTTGGCCGTTGGCTCCAGCGCACAACCATCGGCATCTACCTCGGCTATCACGGCCGACAGCCCTGAATTCGCTGGCTTGTCATCGGATCAGCTCAAAGACACAGCTGCCAGATTCACTGTCGCAGAGATGGAGCCCGTAAAACTGTTATTAGAACAGTTGACTGATCTCCATGATACCCTGCAACGCGATCGAACCGTGAGATGGAACGAGTTCCTTCGAAAAGTGCGTGCCGAACGCCGAAAGGAAGGCGAAGCGGCAGCCGCTGCAGCAACTTCCGATCGATCTCTTGCTGCCGTTGACACCCCAGAAGTCTCACTCGCCGACGGCGAAGTTGTAGGCATCGCGGGCCTGGGTAACAAAGGCAAGGTTGGGAGAGCGAAGTGGCGAGAATTCCGGATTCTCGTACTCGGCGGCATCCCAGTCGCTCTGCGCGCGAAAACTTGGTCGGAATGCAGCGGGGCTTCGGCAATGCGAATTCCTGGCTACTATGATGACCTCGTGTATGGTGTTGGTGGATCAGACCCCGACCCTTCCGTCGTCGCACAAATCGACATGGATATACGCCGCACTCTTACCGATAATGTCTTCTTCCGCAAAGGACCTGGGGTCGGCAAGCTGAAAGAGGTTCTGCTTGCATACTCGCGCCGTAACCCAGAAGTAGGCTACTGTCAGGGCATGAACCTCATCGCAGGGTCTTTGCTGCTCATCATGCCCACTGCCGAGGACGTGTTTTGGATTTTGACCTCGATGATCGAGATCATTTTACCCCAGCACTATTATGACCATGGCTTGCTTGCTTCCCGTGCCGATCAGGTAGTCTTGCGCCAGTATATCTCAGAGCTGCTTCCCAAACTCTCAGCCCACTTGGAGGAGCTGGGGATCGAACTAGAGGCACTCACCTTCCAATGGTTCCTCTCTGTCTTTACAGACTGTCTCTCCGCGGAGGCACTGTATCGCGTATGGGACGTGGTTCTATGCCTCAACGTGACCAGCGCAGTCAACGGCTTCGGGCCAAATGCCTCAAGTACCAAAGAGAGCAATGACAAGACCACGAAGGTTCCCGAAAATCTGACCTCTGGCAGCGGAGGCGGAAGCACATTCCTATTCCAAGTTGCTCTCGCACTTCTCAAGCTCAACGAGCAGCAGTTGTTAACCACCTGCTCGACGCCGGCCGCACTCTATACATACATCAACCACCAAATGACCAACCACGCGATCAGTATCGACGGGCTGATTCAAGCCAGTGAAGCATTGCGCAATGTGGTCCGCCGCGAAGATGTCGTTGCACGTCGTGCTGTTGCCCTTCAAGAAATGCGCGAATTGAGCAGCGGTGCAAGCATCTAGACCTTTGATACGGAATTTCTTGTCATGGTCTTTCATTCATTTCCCCCTACATTTTTCACGCAATGCCGATACGACCTGAGCATAAGGCAAGGAGTTTTGGCTTTTTTGTTCCTTTTTTTTTTTTTTTTTCCATTGCCTGGCGCTATTCCCTCATTACTTTGATTTGCGAAAGCACATGTTGACATAGCCAATGTTCTTGTTGCTCGTCTCATACACCAACCCAGCATTTGAGATACCCCTGGATTATACACTTGGGCGGCAGGTTAGACTTGTTCGAATGAAATCAAAATCTTTTTCATTATTCGTATTATTATTCTTGTGCATGATCATGAATCCTTCTACAATCCTGAAGTGCCTAACATGGCTCTAGGGCTTTTGATTCCTGCCGCAAAGTTCGACATTGGAAACAAGCTGATCGTCCTTGGTACACATGTTACGTTACTTGTAGCTGTGATTTTTCTCATTTCTTTCATTTGCGTGAATGAACTGAACCATATGAGAAATTCCAAAAGCAGAACAGCCAGTATTGCAATCAAACGACAAACCCATATATCCACATAAAGATACCGCGAAGGGAAGCATTGACCAAATCATCTCAACTACTCAAACCGAAGATCATCAAAGGTGTGCTCAAACATCCAGTTAACCTGTCTCAGGTCTAGGCTGTCTGGTACTCGATTCGAAATCCGCCAATGCCGGTCCATCAACCCTCTCCATATACCGAATGATCTCCAACTGGTGAAGCTTGTATTCAAATGTCTGCGCATCCGAGACACTTCTGCAAAGCTCTCCATCGGTGCTGATCGGAGCTGTGACTGGATACGGTGCTGTGGCCATAAACCTGGCCTTCAACTGAGGCTTGAAGCTCTCCCTGGCTATTTTCATTCTTTGCCCATCTTCCGCGCCGGTGTAGGCGTCATAGCTGATGTTGGCTTGATCCATGTGGCCTACTGCATATAAGTCTTTATTCACTGGCTTTTTCAAGATTCTAACAAACGTACGCTCCATATGTTTGATGTAAAGGCACAGTCTTTGATATGTGCGTTGGAACTCGCGCTTCTTGATTGCCGCTCTGACATTAAGGTCTAACATCCAGGAGATCATTGCACACGACAGTCCTGCCGATACCTGTCAACTTCTTGTCTTTAAGTGGGATTATGTCTAACCTACCATCTTTGGTATAACTATATTGTTCACTCAGATATGGCGCTGGAATCTTTTCCATGCGATTCACGAAATCCGGGGGAGGAATATCTTGAGAAGCCATTTCAAGCAAATCTAGGATACTAATTCAGAAGAGATCAAATGAGTACCGAAGAGGGAATCCCTCTCTCTTTTTCTACGGTGATCAGCTTAGGGCCGAGTCAGCATTCTCTTTGTTCTTCCTCGGTTTCTCTCGGCCATTCTCTCAACCATTCTGACAGGAAAGAATTTTCTTTGTCACATATAGGCTCTGAAAAGTCAAATAACTCGAGTGAAAGTCGAAATTGGAGGGGATGTGAAACGTGTGGCCAACTCTTTGTTCTCGAAATAGATGTATACTTCGACTTGGCTTTGTTCAAAGACTTTCCTCTGGAGTCAAATAGTCACTCTATCTGGATTCGAAGGACACAGATTGTGATATTTTCTGCCCCTTTGGTCTATATAATCTTGCCCATTTCCTTTGATAATACATAACACCGTCTTTCTATACTGTCTTTGACTTGTCTCGCCAAAATGAATTATGAGCGCATGGCGGCCGAAATTCCCACTCTCTACAGGCTATCTAGGGAGTCCAAAGGTAGTGTCTCTATCTCTTTTGAATCCTTTACACAGCCCGAGAGACTAACAAATGATCAGAGGCCGACCTCCTCAATGGTCTTCTAGGCTGGATCCGCAACGATACGTTTGGGAAAGTGGCAGAAGTCTGCGCTCTCTGGGGTGCAATCGTCCAGGCCAATAAGCACCTTTCCAAAGTCGATCGTAAGACTATACGCTCTATTGTACTCGCCGTTGCTAATTGAGTCTCTGATTTAGGTACACTGCAATCCCGTACGATTGAACATGAGCACTTCAATCTCAAAGAAGTCCTGAATTCAGAGTTGAAGCAAGCCAAGGAAATGATGGCTTCCATTCCTGGTGGCAGACGTGCAACTACAGTCACTACCGATGAGGATTTTTCTCTTGCTATTAAGCGGTTGAAGTATCTCCGCGAGTACAAATAGTCTGCCGTGCTTTTTCCGGTTTTGGGTGGATTTATGGATAAGGAAAATCTGATTTCTGGCGTTGATGTTTCCTATATATTCCATATTTCAATGAGTAATGCTGTCGTTGTTCATCAAAGGTGCCGTATTCCAGAGGCACTCAACCTCCTCTCTCTCAAGATCCTGGCCAAGCAACCACCCAATACCAGACAGGGCATCAATGTGCGATTTGGTAGACAACGAGTGCTCGGGCCACATCCAATGAGCATGTGGCATACCGGGATAAACATATAGGCGAGTAGCGACGCCATGGCCGTGAAGCAGTTTCTCGTAGATCAATCCATCATCACGCAGTGTGTCTATCACATGGATCTGCACAAAAGTCGGCGTCCAGAGTTCGACATCCTTCGCATTGCAGACTGGTGAGTTAGCGCTTTGCTCGCCTGGCACCCAGAGGTGCTTGTATTTTTCTAGCACAACCTGCTCATCCAAACAGGGTGGGATAATGGCCACTACACCTGTCGGCGAAGGGGAGAGATTCTCTCTCATGGCGCGATGTGCAGTGACGATTGCCAGGCTTTTTCCGGCTGAGCTGCCGCCAATGACGAAGCCCTTTGAAAGATCAGAGCCGAACGAAGAGGCATTGGTATTTCATTCACCACTGAGCCTTCAAACAAAACCTCTGATGGGAATGAAGACAGGTCAAGAGGGGGGTTGATCTTGAAGAGCTGCGAATTTATTAATGAGGGTGTAGGGCTTCAGGAGAAGTTCTGCTTTATCTCATCCATCTCTGGGTTGATAACACCGAGCTGAAGGACAGCTTCCTTGGTGTTATAAGGATATATGATCAAAGGAAAGGTCAGAGAGTGTGAAAAGGAAATCGGAGTCTTACTCGGGGTTTTATATAGTGGCTTACACGTTGCCAATCCCACCTAGAACAGCCTAGGCTTCATAAGATAATTATGAACACGAGTGCACCAAATGGTACGAGCATAGTGAATATTGTAGATTCATAAAGATAAAACCTTATAGTCTCAATCTGGGACTACCTTTGCGAGTTATAAAGGTACAAATCAAGCCTGTATACACAAAGCCGTGGAAAACCGTCCCATCTCCCTCCAGACCCGGATACAGCTTTATACTCTTATACTCCGGACTTGGGTCTGTAAGCCCCCAAAGGGGAATAGAGCCCTACAAGGGGGGTTTGGTGGGTTTGGTGGGTTTGGTGGGTTTGGTGGAGGTGAACACAGCACGTTGAAGGCTGATGACCACGCTCTTAACTTGGTTCAACGATTGTGGAGAATTCGCGAATATAGACGGTGTGAAACGTTAGAAAGGCCGGGAAAGGTAGGTCATATCTCCTTTTCTCAGCTGGGGCTTTGATCCACCCAAAACTGACTGTTATCTAGCACAGTCGTCAGATCCAGCGAGTCCATCGTCGGACGCAGTCCCAGATCCATCACATCCCGTGCAACGGCTTTGATCTGCCGCATGATCGACTGGGAAATGGCCCAAGTGCGAGCCAATGACTTGAAGACACCGATCGTCAACGCGAGACGGTCGCGGCTAGGGTCTGGCATTTGACCGGCTTTGACAGAACAGGTGGCCAGCTGCACAATGGAGCTCAGAGTGAGCGCACAGATGAAAAATGGAGTGTGCTTGATAACGGGCAGACGGAAGGCAGCAAGGCGGGACAACTCTCGGGCGGCCTTGGCGGCCTTCATGGCATGCTCGTTGTGAGAGAATGCAGGCACACTGATCGGGCCATGGTGGCCACAGATGACTTCTGCGGCAACGGCAGGAGATGAAAGAAGATCAGACCGCGGGAAGTTGAGGTAGATGGCTGCACCGTTCAACATCATGGTCGCCTGGAACATGATCTCATCCACGCTCCCGTCGGGTCGCAAGAGCTCTTCCTTGGACTCTGGCAAGTGATGGCCCCAACTACCAATCCGCGCATCAAGAGCTTCCACTTGGTCCTGCTGGCCTTCGGTCATATCCTGCATCGCCACCACGCGGCCAAGAATCCGTATGGCTTCAATGCGATAACAGTATGAGGAGAAGTCACGCTCTTCATCCGCGAACACACGCCCGTCAAATTGTGCAATGGTCGGGGACGGTGGCGGTGGCAGGGCATCATGATAAATCCGCTCTTCGCATGGAAGTGAGACCTCGAGCGGTACTTGGTTAGTTCGGTATTCGCGCTGCACACCGAGGGCAGTCATGAGACCCTCAATTACGAAGAGCTCCCACCAGGTGCGCCGCAGAGTCTCTGCACGGATTGGATCCCCGTTGCTCGCAAGGATCGCAAACGTCCCTTGATGCATGCCGAGCTCGAAGGCCGAATCGACTGCAGCGGCCAAACAAACACCGGCCTCTCCGCGCTCATTGTCTGAGTGAAGTACAATTGCCAGCAGAAGCAGTGCCTGCACCTTTTCCACCGACAAATTTTGCTCTTGGACCATTGCGACCACCGTCGGCCGGTACGTGTCACTCGAAGCGGCCGGGGTGAAGTGGGCACCGATGAACTTCATCACCTGCTCCAGGTATGCGGGGAAGACGTAGCCATTTAGGAGGCGGTGGGGTGGCAGGATTGGGTGGGCGGCGTGGAAATAATTATAGTAGATATCGAGCAGGTAGCCATCCCCACCGACGGCAGAGGATGAATCCGGGGTCAAGGGTCCGCTGATTTGGCGAGCGGATGGACCAATTGGTGTCGAGAGACCTTGTATTCCGGGACTAGTCGAGGCAGACGAAGGCAGCGGTACGGTTGGCGCATAAGTGAAGCCAGCCTGCAAGGTCCAATCCACGGGGACATCGAGCAAGCCTACCGTGTTGGGGTCCATGGGCAAGTAATCGGGCGAGTTGGCGCGGCGCTTTTTCGAGGGGCCCTTGTAACCTCTCCGGGACTTAGTATATTCGCAAGGGGATCGGGCCTGTTCACAGCGGCTGCAGACGGGAGTCCTGCCATCGCATTTGAGGTGTTTGTGTCGACACTGAAGACAAGCCAGTAATGCGGGACCCGGTTTAGACCCAGTAGTAGTCTGGAATTCGGTCATGGTGAAAGACGCATATAGGAAATGGCTAGAGCGAGAGAAAAAGACGAATCGAGGGGAAGAGAGGGGATATTCTGCAATATTCGGGATGGTAATTCGCGTTACGCACTAAAAGAAGCACTTGAACTGGATTCTCTCTCTCTCTTTCTCTCTCTTGGAAGATTGTATATATCAAAGGTCTAAGGATGTTAGAGGAAAGAGAAGTAAGAAAAGGAGAAAACACGAAAAACAATATTACAAATGTGACGAGGTCACCGTGCATGTGGTTTACTATGTAAGGAGTACATTACATTGTAATGTCGTACTCCGCATTTACATTACCCGTCTTATCAACTTCCTTTTGACTCTCTCTTTACCTCGCTACCTCTCTACTTCTATACTTCTTGACTTCTTTACTTCTACCTCTATCCTTCTCTATCTCAATTCATTAAGATCAACCCTCATTACACTTCTGGGACACCCTACCATTACACAACTGTGTGTCGTCACTCGAACTACTGGCCGACGTGTCTTCTCCGACTATATCGTCCATCCCTCAACGCTTTGTCTCTTGCTTTTACCTGTGATCATTCACATCGTTTCCTCCGTTCTTTCACAATGATCTCCGACGATGATCTCTACCGCCTCGCCATCTTCCTTGGCTCCTGCGCCATGATGATGATTGTCCTATACCACTTCCTCGATGTCAATTCCAGCGAGGAGGAACCAGAGACTACCGAATCAGCAACCCAAATGAAGGCTGAGGAGGCTGTGCCAGTGGTATCCACAGACAGGGGGTCAGTTTCAGGGAAGGGGAATTGAATCCAATTTGCGACTCGGAGAGAAGGAACACAAGAATCCAACAGCGAACCAAGATACCAGTGCCTACAGCATTTGATTTTACTTTACCAGCGGGTCAGGCACAAGCCAATTGTACACTACAGTTCAATTAGTTGGATTGGCAATGTGGCTTTATTCATCAATGCTCTCTTGATTTGAAATTGTGCGGTTCCTAGGGGATTCACCGTATAGATGTATTATCCAGGTGAATAATGTAGGCACTGCCCACCATTGCAAGATATCATAGTATGATATTCAACGCCAATTCCCATGCAAATCAGTCTCCATTCAATGAACCGAATCCCGGCAAGAAAAGAAAATAAGGGTATCACAAAAGTCAATATAATAGGATGCATCAATCCTCCCCAACAAATGCCATTTCACCACAGTGGACTCTGCTCTGACGAGCTGGCGTCGACAGACGGCGGTCACTCCAATCCATCTCGGGTCCGACTTGCTGCTTCCAGTGTCGTCCCGCTTCGAGCAGTGCTTGAGCCTTTGTCTTCTCAGTCAATTTCCCATGGGCCTTGCTGAAGGCTTTAACCTGGTGTTCATCCACTGGCAAAACCATAGTCCCTTTGCGAGCACTTCGATCACTCAGAATGGAAGGGTAGTTCGGTTTGTTTTCCGCTAAAACATTCATCCGATTAGACATTTTCTTCAGATCAAAAAAAAAAGTTTGTGTAGATCAGCCCCTTAGAGGAGCGTCAAGCGCAAGCTAGTTATGATTCTCACCAGTTACTGGCACCGTTGGTCCATCCCCAAGCTGCCAAGCCATTTTAGAGATGTGCTCGTTCGACATATGCTTAAACATATCTGCTGCAGCCCTTGGCGTCTTGTCGCCACATTCTTTCCATTTGCAAACGAGAGAGTGCGGGATGTGAACTTTGATAACATGAGCTCGAACCGAGTCAATGTTATGGAGTTCTGCAGCGCACCCCTCCCACTTACATGGGAAAATCTGATAATTTACAGGCTGTTCACGGGGAATGCTAACTTCAATGTGCTCCGCTCCAGTTTTAGAGTGTCGGCCTGGCCTTCTACTCTGGCTCTGGGGCATCTTGTGTGGTGAAAGCAGGATAACGACTTGTGGTTGGGGGAGACGCCTTGTCTCTGGGGATTTCACAGTCCGACTAGAGTCCGATTGGCTTCTGGGCATATGCCCTTGGGGGTTAAGCTTTGTTGTAGATTTAGGCGTCGATTGTTTTGCTGCATGCGGAGGTTTGGGCGGGCCTGCACCTTTCGTGGTGGACTGTCGTCGCTGCTGGGGTTGCGGCGGTAAGGGAGTCGGTAAGGGGACGGATTTGTGGGATGGCTGCGGGGATGCAGGCACAGGATCAATCCTAGGAAGTCCAGAAGGCAAGTTTGAAGAATAAATCGGTTGAGGGGAATGATAAGTTGGCGGTTTAAAAGGCAAAGTAGACCAAGCATTCAAACCGCCCGAAGGGGCACGCGCGTCGATCCTTGTCGGCATTACAACTTGGCGATTGGGCGGTGTGCCACGCGACGGCATCGGAGCAAAGTCACGTGTAGTCGCGTGATTTGGTACAGCAACGTTTGGGTCACGTGGAAGTGGTTGCCAAGGTGGTTGAGGATGAGGAGGTGGTCGAAGTGGTATTTGCGGTGTAGGAACCGGAGGCATGCGATTGACTTGAGGTTCAGGCTGCTTGACATCCACCAGGTCCCAACGAAACGTTGCCAGGTCTGTCAGGTAGTCGATTTTAGTAAAATTATGGCGTAGGTCTTCAAGATGATGATTTAGAACCTTTTCCGTTGGGTGTTTTCCCGCGGCAATTAGCACATCCCGCGCGATAGTGGCGGGATCATAAGCGTGCTTGGGCAGTGCATCGCTCCGTCTTATTGGCTGGGCCAGGTCGTCACGATTCTTAACAATTTTACCAGGGCCTCGAGGCCGAGGATATTCCATAGAAACTTGTGACCCTTGGGCTGAGCTGCCCGCTAACGTGTCGTTCTGGGGTATCCTTTTGTCCAACCGTTGCATCTTTGCGGGTGGCATAGAGCCACTCAAATGCTCTTGAATCGGAACCCACCGTTTTTCCTGATGCTGCAGTGGTTCCGGCAGTGGGTAATACCGCGACTGTGGATTCCTCGCACCAGGCTGTTGTGCCACGGCCGACTCAGAGAAGGTACCTCGTCGAGGTCCGGAGGTATACGAAGAGTTATAAGAAGGCCCCGGGTGGGAGGCTGCAGGGGTATTGGATGACGCAAAGGATGAGGATACCGCTGATATGCTCTTCTCATTTGGTTGGGAGATCGGAGGCCGCTGGCTTGTCTGATTTGGTGCCTGGTATGATGAAACAGATGCTGGTTTACCCTGGGTCCCTCCTTTATCCTGAGTCCAGCCCCCGTCTATATGATGTGGAGCAGTAGTTGTCTGTGTAGGGGCTGTCGGCGGGGTAGATACAGGAACCGAAGAGACAATAGAGACAGATGGACTGCGGGTTGAAACAGGCTGGGGCGTTGCAGGGCTGTGGACCCTATTAGGCGCAGTTGGCACGGCTGACTGCACATGAGCATAGTTTTGAGATGAAGGCCTAGGTGGTATTGGGTTTGATCTGGCGGAATTGGTAGTCGGGTTCTGTGTGTGTGAATTGGAACCCTCTCGAGGGCTTGTGGTTGGTGTGATCGACTGGCGTGGGTCAAAGGGGTTGCGTACTGCAGAAGTATTGAATCTCTTCGGCGAGACCAAGGGGTTATACAGCCCAGTGTCCATTGAGGAGTGGGAACTTGGCAGTACATGCGAGTGAGATGACCTTTGGACATTCTGGGGTGGGATCATGGAATGGCAGTGGTATGGACTCTGCGATCCTTGGGGCCTTGCTACCGGTTTATGTGTTCTTTGAACTGGAGACCCTGGACAAGATATTTGCACGGCACTTGAAACAGATACTTGCTGCGTATTCTGGGCTGGGGTCGTAGAGCGGCTGTAAGGACTCTGCGATGCAGCCGGTGTATATATTCTTTGGCCTTGTGCCATCATTCCCTGTCCCATGTCTAACAACTGGGAATGCTGATTTGGGGTTGCCGAGCAGCTTTGATACGGGTTTTGTGATGTAGGCAGAGGCCGTGCCATGTATTGGTTCGTTCTCTGCGGAGGGGCTGTCGGCCTGGTAGTTTCACCGGCCCTGTGATTGCTTTTATCGACCTCTAAGGAGTTTGACATGGAGTTCCAAGGCCTCTGTGAGGGGCCAGGCGGATCCATATGAGATTGACCATCGCGATATGCATCCTGATGTACCCGAGAAGTCAAGTGGTGTTGGGACGGAACAGAGGTATTTGACCGCTGGCTTATATTGTGAGAGCGATGTGTTGGGTATGCAGAGAGTCCAGAAGGAGAATTGTTGAATTGAACATTGCTGCTTTCCTGGTCTTGATTGCCTCTATACTGCCCACCCGAAGCTTGTGAATACACCTGAGAGGGATTCAAGGCATGATTGATCCCATGATTTATTGGCCTCATAAATGAATATGCCCTATGTGACTGCTGATGCATAACAGCCGCTTTAGCTACCTCCTCCGCATCGTGAAATGCCGGATGTGCTTGGTAAGCCTCATTGTTGGAATTGGAGTCGTGGTCGGGTTGACTATCGGCTGGAAGAAAACTCTGGAGCCAATCGAATCCATCCGTGGCTCCGCTAGACATTTCAGGTCGTACTGAAGCTATCTAGCAGCTGGAATATCATCGCTGGGTAGGACTGAACTAAGAAAAGACTCGATCGCAAAATCCGTTGCGCATGGAGGGTAATCGGATCGCGGCCGAACAGGGAAAATCCGGATATTCCAAGTAGGCTCAAGTAGTTCTCAGACGCAAAGTGAGGCCAGAATTGAAGAGTCAAGGAAGGGACTTTCTCACAGTCCTGAAACAAAGCGCGGCCAAAGCTGGCCTGGCGCAGATGTTGTCGAGGCGCATAGAGAAGCGCGTCGGAGGTGGATCCCGTGACTAACCAATCAAATCAAGGGTCTTTTATGCCTTATGGGTCAGGTGTCAAGTTGCAAGCCCTGAGATGGCTTAGCGGGAAATTAGTAAGCACACAATCCGGCTCCAACTTGGAATATTCGGCTACACCAGAAAAGATCCTCTCTTCGACCAACGCCAACGACACCCGTTCACTTCACACCCCACGACCTTTAAGATGGCTGTCCGAACCCACGGTGCGTACTCTCTCGCATATCGCCTTGCGCCGAATTGATTTACCACTGCCCGAAACCCCTATCGATACGAATTTTCGCCAACCTTCAACTTTCAATACTGATGGTGTCTCCAGGTATCGCCTCTTCGCGGAGCAAGTCTCGCAAGGCACACTTCCAGGCCCCCTCCAGCGAGCGCCGTGTTATTCTCAGCGCCCCCGTCTCCAAGGAACTCAAGGAGAAGTACGGAGTATGTACCACATCAACCTCCATATCGAATCTGGGTCTGTTCGAGTAGAGTTTTCGCGATGGCAAACTACGGACGATACAGGCACCAGCATGACACAATACACGACGATTCTAACCAACATTCTGTGGCAGATCCGCTCCATTCCCATCCGCAAGGACGACGAAGTCGGTGAGTTTTATTCTTGATGCAGTCTGGGAATAACCTCGAGAAAGTGAAACTGACTGTTGTGTGCAGTTGTTGCCAGAGGTTCCCAGAAGGGCCGTGAGGGCAAGATCACCAACGTCTACCGTCTCAAGTTCTCCATCTTCGTCGAGAAGGTACGATTCGAATTTACATGACAATTGTTGCGGTGGATACTTACTGCGGTTTTAGATCGTTCGCGACAAGAGCAACGGCCAGAGCGTTCCCATTCCCCTCCACCCCTCCAAGGTCGTCATCACCAAGCTGCACCTCGACAAGGACCGTGAGCAGATCATCGAGCGCATCGCCAAGGGTCGTGAGGCTGTCAAGAGCAAGTCGACTTAAGGGATTTCTTACGTGTGGGGTATAGGTTCATGTTGCAATGGCGGTTGACGGCGCGGGTTCAATTGAAGGACTCTGAGAAACGGAGTTTCCAGCCTGCTATGATCAGGGTAAAGTTTCTGAAACCAGGTGCATTGCGATGAATGAAAAATGAACAAAATTTCCTTTTTCTTCTACTCTGGAGTCGGTTCTCGCAGGGCAATTCACCTTGCGCAGCCGATGCTTTTCTTCTTTACGTCTCCCGAGCACATAGGAACGTCCGTCGAATGCTACAGCTCAGTCTTCAGGCCATTTCATTTGGTGTCCAGTTTGCAGCTCGTCCGGTCTAGCATTTTTTTTTCCTTTCGCTTGCTCAGTTTTGTAGCGACATTTCTCCATTCGCTTCCGTCTCCAATTCCTCCCCATTGGAAACCAGAAGTATCGCCTGATATATCTCCTCGTCAATCCCGCGCCTTTAAGGACGGAACCTATGGTTGAAGAGGTAAACACTTGGCGTAGACAATTTACAGGGCTACTGGGAAGCTGGTAGTTTCTGTCTTACCTGCAGACTCACTCTGATGCTTTCGGGCAAGGACGCAGTGGGTTTGATGGTGAGGGACATCTCTTACTCTTAAGTTGGGGTATAGATATCGGCTGTAAACTGTAGGGATCGACTGTATAGATTCAGTGTGAAGGATTAATGTATATCTTCTATCAAATGATTTATTTTACTTTCGTCAATGCTTGCTCTCAACTTTCCTAGCAGCTGTCTTCGACATTAGTACTCCGTATGTACATATTTCGGCTGGCAGCGGCAGATTGCAATTGCTATGAATGAACCTTGGAAATCAAAAAAAAGTCCAGATGCGCTTACACCGCTAGTAGCTTTTCGGTCTCACCATATGTGCACTGGAGTAGAATCATGGTTCTTTTGACGAAATTTCGGTTTGACTTATAGATGTATATCAAGGGCCAGAGCGAAGTATAGGTATCACGCTCAATAAAACCAGTAGTAAATCCAACTAGACAACCAACCGATGAAACATTTATGGCTTACAGAATAAACGGTCGGTTCATGCCAATACCTCAAGGGAGTACAAATCAGATGTTTTAATATACAAACATGAGTAGAAAGATAACCCAAGGAGTAAAAAGGGAGCAAACCTAAAAAAAAAAAGTAGGAAAGCAGATAACATCGCATCGTGTCTCATGAGAAAGCCGGAAAGCAACCTCAGAAATTGGATATTTGAAAGAAAGACGCTCGCTGAAATGTTCGACTAGCCACGAAACTGCGCTAGTGTCCAACACACCTCCCCCATGCAGGTAGTCCACACCCCATACCAATGAACAGGTATAGCAAGAAGATAACGACAACCACCATCATAATCATCAACTTGGTATTCTTCCACCACATCCGCCTCCGCAGTCCCCGGCTACGAATCCGGAAATCATGCGCACTCCCGCCAAGCCGGTCCGTCTTGTCAACCAGCAGATCGATGCGCTCGCCACGCTCCAGAACGCGCTCGATATTCTCAGTCATTATATCACGGACGCTGTCAATCTCGCGTCGGGCTGACGCGAGCGAATCAGCCGGTGGGGCGGTGTTGTAGGCCTGTAAGAGAGAGCGCAGCTCGTTGTTAAAGGCAGCGCAGCCGTAGGCGGGCAGCGAGGCAAACTCGGTTGTGGATGGTTCGTAGGTGGTCAAGAACTTGCGCTTCATTTCTAGCAGGTAGGCGAATGGGATGCGGCGGCCTTGCTCTGCTGAGGCAACTACCACGAAGCTCAGGGGAGCGTGTGAGTTGGGCTCTGCAATGTTACCATCGTCGGATTGGTTGCCTGTTGGCGAGTCGGCAATATAGTGGACAAAGAGCCGTTCATGGGTGAAGGTGAGCTTTTGTGGCTTGTCGTGTGTGATCTTTGGGAGGATGATGGAGGCTAGTGACGAGGCGGCGGTTGATGAACTGCCCGGCGAGGAGTGTTCGGCCAGAATAGTAGTGCGGTAGGCGATGCAAGAGCTGAAGTCATTTATATTGTTAGTCTGGGGAGAATTTGTTTGATTGCTCAAATGTCACGGCTAGACTTACTAGAGCAAAGAGCTCGTCTTGGAAGACGAAGCCATAGTGATATGATGTCAGTGGCTGTGGCCTCAAATATAGAGGGATCGTAACAAAAAAGACGAGTAAGTCAAAGTGATAGAGAAGCCTGTAGTCCTCAAGCGCTTGTAATACTCAGATAAGGGAGCTAAGTAGTTTGAAAGGTCTTGAAATCTTGAAATCTGGAGTACTTTGCACTGGGGTTCGCGCAATGCCGCTGAGTCAGCCTTAACGCCCCCCCGGGCCCGGCCCAGTCTGACCCGTTGACAATTATGACTTTATGTCTCTATACATACTGCATTTTCCCTGGCGTGTGGGGCTTTCCTATTTGGTTTGCCGCTTTTATGAGGGTGCTTAGACTCATGCATCGAACTCACTTGAGATTCCATCGCTAGTAGCTTTAGGCAATTTGTGCACGGTGCCATGAACCCCGTTCATCTTGTTCGTTTCGAGCGTCTCGAGCGAGGTGATTGACGATGAAAGGAGAACATCATTGCCATCTATATCAACAAATCAAAGATCTTCAGTGATAGAGGAAGGGCCAGCTTTGGGTGAGGGTTTTAAATCAGATAACAAGCTCGAAGTTCCGGAGGTGCAGAATCGGCCAGCAACTCAAGTGCAGGTGGCCAAGAAACTCCAAGGAATGGTGAACAATAGGAGGACTCTGGGGCCAGAGCACCCATCAACTGTAGAAAGCATGAACAAACTTGTGTCAACTTATTGGCAGCGGAACCAATGGCAGGAGGCCGCGAAACTTTTAGAGCAAGTGCTGGCGGTTAGAGATGCGAAGCTCAGCGAGTACCATCCCCCTACACAGGCAAACATGCGCAACATGATGTGGTCACACAGGAGGCAGGGGAGGTGAGCCGAGACACACGTGGAAACACTTATATTTATGAGTAAACTGTCCTCCACAATCAGATATCAATGCCACCTAGAAGAGGCTAAGGGTCTTGGGAGAAAAGGCCCTAAGGAGGACTAACTGGAGAATGAAATGATGCAGGGGTGGAAGGATAGGGAAACATATGTAGAAAGATCTACTATAGGGATGCTTACAACCTAGCACCTTTGCACCTAGACATTTCGTGCAAATGCAAGAGAAGTAACTTGGATTCCATTTTGAGCGATGCCTTTCTCGTGCAAACATTCTGCCTATCTAATTTCAGTCGAAAAGAAAAGAATATCAACAGGATATTTCAAAGATACTTGTGGACATCAACTAATTCGAACTCAGTATAATTACCTTCGTTCTCCTTGTCCATGTCGACATCCTCGAAGCTACCAGTGCAGGAAGGCTCAGGGGATACCATATCCATGGTAATTGTGCCATTGCTCCGTGTTTCAGATTCCTCGTCGGTAGTCAGGTCAAAACCCAGTGATGAAGTCCCATCATCCTGCTCGGTTACATGCATGCAAGTGTCCCACTGCGCTCCATCGTGGCTCTCAGTATTCTCGTGTTTGAGCCCAAACTGGGAATAGTCGGTAGAGTCCACGGACATGATATCCGAGGCGTGACTGTGAGTGGCATTGTGAGATGCACCATAAATGGTGCTCTGGGTGTCACTAGGCTTGATCTCGCAGAGCGAATCACTGATCGAGACGACACTGCCAGTGTGCACAGCGGGCCCGGGACCTGAGAATCCACCGACCTCCATGGCCGGAATGATCAAGTCGGTGAAAACACCACCCGTTTCATCGTCATTGCCGCCCGCCCATAGAGGTAGGTATTGGAATTCATTGTATTTGAGGCAGGTCAGGGTATCTGTGAGTTCGTGTCGTATGGTGGCTGGACCAGGTTCCTGCAACATCTCTAGTGCGTATCGCCTCAGGAAAGTTTCAACCTCATTCTTGAATGTCTTTTCTTGGAACATTTCTGCTGAAATGTCCGTCTTTGGTGGCAGTGAAGATACAGGCGGAAGAGATGGGCGAGGGGTGGGAGCAGGAGCGGGATTGAGGAAAGAGCCGTTGTTAGAGGTGCTATCAACCTCGTTGCCAGATTGTGACTGCCGGACGTTAATGGTCATCTCCATCACAACGTGCCCTCCCGCATGTCGCGCAGCCAGAGTCTCTTCCTCCTTGCGAGCCTTAGATCTTGCTCTAACTGCTTGGTTGAATGCATAGGTCATCTGGCGGACTTCCCCACGCGACACATGGCGAATCCTTGCTGCGGTTTCACCACCAAAGGCCAGCGAGCCACTCCCGATTTCTGCAATCGAAGAATGAGACTCCTTACGAAGTGCTTCATCCTGACTGAGATCCAGCCACACCAGCGCATCCCAGAACTTTTTCCCAATTAATCGCTGAAGGATAAATCCTTTGTCTGTGCCCCATCGATGGTATGGGTCTTCGGATCTTGACAAGTTCGGAGCCACATGGAATGAGCGATTTGTGTCTTTTGTCTTAACCAAAACACCGTAAATACGGTCACGGATGAGTTCCTTCAGCGTCACGACTAGTTGATTTACGGTTTCTTGATCTGCGGGATAAAGTTGAAGATGGCGGGTGAGCTTCTGGAACTCAACGATGTGTGCTAACCAGGGCATTTCACTCCCGGTCAAGTGTAAGAAACACCGAATAACGTAGTCACCAAAACTCTTGCTAGCGTATTCAATACGCTGCACCTCTGCGTCGTCTAGAGCTTCAGAAATCCGGCTCCGCACCAAGCTTTCCATTGGTCCGGTTGGTTTGAAACCTGTGGCCCGAATCAGGTACAGCAGGGCTTCGTCCCCAACCATTTCAACAAAAGCATCTCGGCAGAGGCAGAGAGATTTGATACCACATGCCACTCGATATGATACCTCAGGATGAAGTTCAATGAATCGGATGTTGTTGAGCTGGTAGAACCACGAGATGATGTGGTCGCAGATGGCCGGCACCGTAGCCACGTCGAATATTTTGGCGAGCGCAAAAAAAGTCCACAGCTTGCAAGGAGTGTCTATTTTAGGGTTTAGTCCTTCTAGAACGTGGAGAATATGCTCAATGCCTTCACGATGACGTGAGGCCGAGTATTCCACGGGCAAGCGCTTCTGCTTCACTATTTCAGGCTGCAATACTAGAGATTGGTCCTGTGATTCAGATGAGGCTTTAAGATGGTCGGCATCGGTATCGGGTGGGGACTCGGGTGATCTGGGGGATTGTGCAAGCTGCTCGATGGGTTCTAATTCATCCTGTCCCCCAACGCACTGCCACGGCAGCCTCCATATATCTTGTTTTGAGGCCCATGTTCTGATACTCATAGGGCACGAGAGCTCGGTCAAGAAGATGACTGCATCTTCGTCCACGGTTGGGGGTGTAAGGTCCAACACGTATTGAATTCCATCTGGAAGCTTGCCAGTCAAGCCGCGTCGCTTTTGGACCCGGTTCTGCATTTTTGGAGTGAACAGACGTTTGAAGTACGCCGAACCTGTGGCTAACAATTTCTCACTGTGGATGCGATGGGGAATTGTCTGTGCGGAAATAGGCATCTTAGATGGGATTGTCTCCGGAGAAGGGTCAATGAACACCAGAGTATCTGCACCGTGGAGAAGAAGTAGAAGTGGCATTGGTGTAAGGCTGGAAGGTGAACGAGAATCCGGGGGGCTTGCTAGGAGCACTGCGGGGGTATCGGGGTTGTCTGTAGGGTTTGAGATGTCAGATTCGCCCGCAGTGTCACTATTCGGTTCCTGTTGCTGATTTCGCTGTAAGAGTAGAAGATTTTCGATTACTCCCCGAGGTGTGCAACCTGAAGGATGAGATGGCTCCATTTTGGACAGAGCTTGAAGATGTCACGAAGAGAAGGTGAGATGAGGCTAGATGTGTAGAGAGTAAGATTCAAGTCAACAGGAAGAGTACAAGAGGTTAAGAGAAGATGAGACAAGGTATATAGCTAGAGAGTATTATTTAAGTCAAGAGGAAAGAATACTGATCACAGAGAAGGGACAACTGATTGTGGGGGAAATGGGGGATGAGGCTCTGCTGCCTATTAGGTACATGTACATAGGTACATGTACATGTATAAACAAGGATAGTCTATACCTGTGTTTTTGGACTTTTTTAGATGTCACATATCTATATATGCCAAACATAGAATATAGTGAGAATACAATGGGAAAGGTGTAAAATGTATGCTCTTCACCTTCTTAAGAGGGGATCAGAGGCACCTTCATTGGTGGGTTGAATCACGACTTTGGCCTGAGGCAGTAACTTGCTTAGTTATGCCTTGGTGCCTTACTGAATATTGAGAGTTTCTTAAGATTTCTCTCAAACCACCTGGGCAAGATGTTCGTTATCTAAATATAATGGCAAGCTTAATTTCGCATCTATACTGATATCTTTTTATCCAAGTAAAAGTGCAATTCCCATCACGATCGCAGCAAATCCTCCAATGAAAGACAGTATGATCGTGACCTCATTGAATGGGTGTTTAGTGGCATAAACCCCCCAAGAAACAGCAAACAAGAACCACCAGACTGGGGATGCAGCCCACATGTTCCGATCTGCTATAGAGAGAAATGAGTCACTTCGAAACTACCCAAAGAGGATCCGAAAGTTACCTTGCATAGACTGCAATCCTAATTCCGGTAAGAAAAACAGTAATACGACGGACGCTAGAGCCAAGGAAGAGGCAGCGGCGACATCTGCAAATAGACGTCAACTCAAGCTAATCATTCAGGAACGGAAGAGAATCGAAACATACAACCGCTGATAATTGCCGATGGCCTCTTATTCATGAACTCGGTTAGATCCTCCTGGAGCGTACTGAAAATACACAGACCGACATTGTCCCCGAAGATACGCTGTAGAGTCTCTCGAGAGGCTGGCGTGAGTTGTGAGAACCGGCCAATTTCCCATTTACTGGCATGTGTCTCGGCGACATCGACGGGGACGTCGTATCTGTTGACGAGGAGTTGGGTGATATAGGTGCGGACTTGTTCGGCGGGCGCATTGGGCGGCGGGAGGGTCGTGAGACCTGTCGGTAGTGATATTTTCTTTTCCATGGTGTGAAAATAATACAGAGTAAATAAGATGGGATTATCTGACACTATATAAAGATAATGTTCCGAGGCTGTGCCGGGGCACTTGCCTAACTGGGGGCCAAGCATACTGACGAACCACAATGACTACATAGGTTTCAGATGCCATGCGTCATTTGATTTAGCCAAAAGTACGAGATCAGAAGAGTAGCTCTTTCTTTGACTTTGGGAATCTGGTTTTGGTTTACTTCCTGGGGAATCTCGTTTTCAGCCTCTATAATGTATCTATCTATCATCTATCATCTATCATCTATAGTATAGAATATATATAGAATATATCCAGGGTTCCTAGTACAGGGCTTAGTAAAGAAAAAAATTATCCAAAACATAAGAGAGCTTGCATTGTCATAACCCCATCCACAACCCCATCGTGGCTATCATGGCAGTAGCCGTTCACCAAAGTCGGAAATCCATGAAGTCAGTATTGGCCCTGTGAGTAGATGTCGGTCTGTATTGACACAAAAATAAGATCTCGCAACATCGCCCTACTAAGCGTCTTTGGGGTCATCAGTGGGACAATGCTGATGTTTCGCTTCCTCGCTCCCCAGCAAGGCAAAATAATCACCAAGGAAGAGGTAGCGGCGTACCGGGGTGGTGACTCTGATCAAACCAATCAAGGCGAGACATATGGGCACATTGCCAGGGCTCCCCGTAAGGGATCTCAAGTACCCAGAGGAGGAGCCATCTAAGGGGAAATGCTGTCTTGAGAGCATGGGCTAAATCAAGAAATATGGCAATTGATTTATATGAACAATTGTTACTCGCTTGGTATCATCTGTAGGGCGTTCTCCGCGTCTCTTTTTTCAGGTTCTGTTTTCTATTTACTATCATTCAATAAAAAGAGTATAAGAGCACCAAAACTCCATCCATATGACTATGCCCTGGAATGGCGAAGACCAGAACAGATGATCGGCAGTATATAGCACAGCCTACCTGAATTAGATAAAGCTACCCTACGGCCCTACTCGCTTGAGCAGCTTTTAGGTAATAAGTTGAATAGAAGGCTTGGAATATGAACATGTCATGTACTCATGTGTGGACCGATGAACATTGAACCTTGAAGCCGTTATGTACCCCGAATGAGATGGTATCTGGTATCCGCAAAACAAAAAAAGCCAACGCGCCAGATCAAAAGCAGATATCCGGAAAGCAAAAAAACCACCCAATCAATTTACAGGAATTGTTTTACATGGTGTTACCACCAAAGTGTAGATGCAATGAACAGTTATGTAGATGGCCGGGTATCACCGCCGGGCCCATCTCCTTTGAATGGGCTTCCACCACTGCCAGCTCGGCTTCCGGGGGAATTAGCACTTTTCTTCTTCGAGTCTTTCTTGTCACGCTTCTTTTTCTCACGTGTAGCCCCTCGGGACTCATCGGGTCGACTTGGACTGCGACTCGACTCGCTGCGGCGGAGATCTTTGACTTCTTTGATTACCTCACGGAATCCTTCTTCGATGTTATTCATGCGAGCTAGAACCAATTTGCTAAGCATGTCTTTGGTTTGGGTTGGGGCTTCACGACGAAGAACGGGTGGGGCAAACCCTAGTTGGGTCTGGAAACTTGACGGAAGGGCACCGGCGAAGCCACCCGCCACGGCCCTGTTATCGCCTAGATCAGATCCCAGATCGAAGAGAAGGGTTGATCGAGGCCGTGTCCCGGGGGCCGGTCAGATAGGTAGATACTGTCCATCTCGGGAACAGACATATGGTTTAGTCCAATCGAAGGATTCCGAGGACGAGGTGCGTCTAGGATATGACGCTTCATGGTACCATGGTCTACCGAGGTAGAGATGGCAGGACGTGATTCTCCATCGGACGAATCGGTATCTGGCCGTGGAGGTGTGTCCCGGCCTTCCGTCTCTTCGTTCGGAGATCCAACGGGATTGTACAGCATGGTGACCCCGGAAGCATTCCGCGTATGTCTGACACGACGTGTAGGGCTGTTGCGACGCGAGATAATTCTTGCCGTAGATGGACGAGAGCTATAGAACTTGGGCGACGGCTTCTCTGCGCCTCCAACCGAGTTAGATGATGCCTTGCCCAAGGACCCCGGGGCCAAGTTTTTGTCATCATTCGAGTCACCATCGTTGCTGGTAAGTTCATCATCGCCCTCCATGTCTGTATGATGGGAAAGTTGTCGTTTCTGAGTGGGCGAGACAGATGGTCTTGTGCGCCGAGGCCGAATGACTGGGCTTGCAACGCAGCTTGTTCGGTCCTCAGGATTCGAAGCAACTGATCGGGTCGTTTCCGTGAAATTTCGAGGTTGGTTGGCCAGTCTAGCCCGAAATGGAAATTTGGGTCGTTTCGGGTGCATCTCATGTTGGTCCACAACTAGCGAATCCCCATCTTCGGGTCCATTGGCTGGCCCAGAGCCAATCTCCTGCATCCAGTCTTTGATGACGTTATTGGTCTGGCGTTCATGCACAGTGCTCGGTGGCCCTCGGACTCTGCCATCACTGTATGGGCGTCGAAACACCTCCTCCAACGCTCGATCCTTCTGGTATGTTGCCACAGAGGGCTCTCGCCTAAAAACAGATGCCCTGGTGCTGAAACCACGGAATCGACTGGGCTGAGCTGGGATGTCATTCGGCGACATAGATTCAATTAAATCTATCGGCCGAACGACTCGAGAACTGAGGATTGTCTTCTCATAGAGGCAAATTGTGAACAGTATGGGTAAGTGGGTTATCTTTATAATGGTCCGGTTGAGCCGAATGTATTCACGGAATGGCATCAGGTATCGGAATGGTGTCACTAGCCAAGCAATGACGTTTGTCGGTGCCACATAGGAGAATAAGGCATCAGACTTGACCATCGAAATAGTATTGACAGCGAACAAGAATTGATGTTCTTGATTTGCGTTCTGGACAATTCTCATAAAGGAATTGGTCAGAACAGTGATCAAGATAGTGACGACGACAAAATGACAGATGAATAGGAAGACCGTCAGGATCGTTTTTCCTAAAAAGTTGTATTCATCCCACATTGCCCATGCTGTTGGCGTAAATCCCATCAGCATCTGGAACAAACCATAAGCCACCACTTTGGGGGATTTGTTGTCTCCAAAATTCAAGAAAGCGACAAAAAAGCCAGAGCAAGAAATGACGATGAGTACGAAGACGGCGATCAGATCTGATGCCATTATCCGGAAAGCAATGAGCAGTTGGGAGAAGTACCGATAATGATCCAATATGGAAAACAGTCTCGGAAATAGCAAGGGAGCTGTGGCGGTGAGAACATCGAACTGAAAATGAATTAGCATATTATCGCAAATAAAAGCACATTTGTAAAGATGGCGAAACTTACTGCTTGGTCGGCGATGAACTGACTTCTAGGGTAGGTCAGAAATGTACCGTATATCCTCAGGCAATAGTATGCGAAAAGCAATAGCAGAATCCCGACGTCGAATAGATTCCAAAAGCTCATTAGATAAAGACTGAAGCCTTGCTCATTGAACCCAACAACTTCATCAAGCATGAATCCGGCACTCCAAAACCAAAATACAATCTCAAGGGATGTGATCCTGCGGCTGCGCTGTTCCAGAACAGCCAGGAACAGTCCCAAGAGTACTGCAAATGATAGAGTTGAAAGAAATTGTCGATAGCGCGGCACCCTCAGCCGTGATAATTTGAACAGAGATGCGTCCCGGGGGTTGTAGATTGTCACTGAGCGCCGAAGTGTCTTGTTGCTCGAGTCGGTCGCAATATTCCAATTGGGATCCATTGCCGTCCCATAATCCAGGTTTCTACTACCTTGGCTCGCGTCCACAGGACGATGGAGATTGTCGGCGGCAGAGTGGAAGACAACCGTCCCCGCCCAGATAGCCTCCAATTGTTGTACCACGACCGGATGGGCCAAGAACCGCTTGGCCTGCGAGCGAATAGCGACCTCCAAACATGAAACACGAGCAGCAACCACCCGTTTCCGCTGGGGGCCCGCGCCTAGTACTGTGGATTGATCCTGGCCCTGGAGTGGATAGAACTCGTAGGACAGTGCATCGATCAATTCTCGGGTCGAGTATTCCCGCAATAATTTTATCGCTAACAGTTCACTGACCATTGCCCGTGTTTGATTTGCCCCGCTATTTCCGGGACTTAGGTGTATTTCTCTCTCGAATTGCAGACAATTGGCCATCAATGCATAGAGAGTCGCGCGCGAAAAGTGGGCCGACATGATCTTCTGCAGGATCGGCTTGATCAAGAACTGGGAGACCTGCGGCGAGCGTAATTGGTCCCATGTGAGGGTGGTTTCGCAACGGGAGGCGATCAAGGGCCGGATGGCGTGGGTTATGTTGTAAACAGGCAGTGCATCTAATCACCGTTGGTCAATTGTCCACCGTATACATCGTACCCTAGAGATTCTCTTCGTACCTAAATGCGACGCAGAGAACATGGGCAGTAGAGGTGTAGATTCCAGTGGTCCGTCCTCTTCCTCTTCCTCCCAGTCCTGATCCATGTCCTCTTCATCGATTTCTTGAAGCTCTGGGGCATCATCGCTGCTTTCGTCGGCTCGGGAGACGCGTCGCGGGTTGCGCGCGCGAGTCCACGGGGAGGGGGTCGAGAATGGGGACTGCTCGGTCTGCCCACGCCGAAGTTTTGGACGAAGCAGCGAGGCGAACATGGCGAGGAAATTTCGGAATCTAATTCGGCATCACCGAGGGTTGGTTGGGAGGTCAACCGTTAGAGCATTGCTAAGTCCAACGCGAACGCGAGAAAATCAAAAAGGGAAAAGATCGCAATAGCAGAGCAAATAACAGGCAAGTAAAAGAGGAAGAAGTTCAAGGTTTCAAAAAGTCCAAGCGCGATTAATTTAGTCCAAAAGATCTCATACGTTGGGGGGAAAATCTAAGCTCCCACTACGATCAAACCCCCACGTCATTGTACTTTCACCCCCTGGCCTTAGTTACATAAGGTTATTTATTTAGTTACTACCTACATATAGGCAAGTATATTCGATCTTGATATTCTTGACCTTTCTAGATCTTTAGATCATTGAATCCTTAAACTATTATCGTATCAACTTCAAAGTTATACTATAATCCTCAACAATATGTAGAGAATGTGTACTTATAGAATTCCTACATATATATGTACGATGTACATACATATAGCACTCGATAGGTCAGAAAGATTTCCCACACGTGCAACATGAAAAAAAGATCATTGTACTAAACATCTTTGAGATGGGATAGATATCTTATAACCTATATGTATTGTGTATGTATATATATCGTACCCCGTATATAACATGGGATACTCCATACTATATATATCCCCAGGACCGGACCACAGCAATATATCAGATCCCGTTATCGGCCCACTGCCCGTGCGTTGCATCATATGCAGTAATACCCTGCATGGTAAAGAGAGGAAGTTGGGATTTGATATCGACATTTGAACGATCAAGAATCCTCAAACTGATCAATTGACCTTTAAAAACCAAATTTAATGACAATGAATAATACAATAGCATAATATTAGTCTGATATGGTGGAGGAATCGGAAAATCTCTGCGGTGAAACCGATTGACCGAAAGCAGAAGAAAAGTGGGGACCCGAAAAAGCTTTTTGCATGAAAATATTTTCTGCCGAACTTCTTTCCCTCTCTTCCTCCTCCACCAGCTGGTTGCAGCAACAATTTTCATTTTCATTTTCTTTTTATATACACCTTTCTGCGTTTCGTTCTTTCTATCTCCCAAACCCCCAATCCCGCAGATGAACTAGAGTTACCTACTCGCACTAGATCGTCCCTCGAGAGGACTTGTTCCCTCACATATCCCAATTGCGATGTCTCAGCGTGCCAATCTCCTTGAGGAGCCAGTCCTGCCTACCAGTCCACACCAAGGTGGTGCAGTTGGTTACCCAGAGATCCTGCCTAACATTGCCCCTGTCAATGGAGTGATTAAGCCAGCCTGCATCCCAGTTCGGGGTGGCTCAGACCGGTTGGTTGCCCTCGAACTCGCAGATGGCACTGTCTACCAGGGTTACAACTTTGGCGCCGAAAAAAATGTCTCGGGTGAATTGGTCTTCCAGACTGGTATGGTCGGTTACCCCGAGTCCATCACCGATCCCTCATACCGCGGCCAGATCCTGGTCGTCACTTTCCCACTCGTGGGTAACTACGGTGTCCCTTCACATGATGAGATGTGTGAGCTCCTAAAGGACTTGCCCAAGCACTTCGAGTCCAGTCAGATTCACATTGCGGCCCTGGTGGTGGCATCCTACGCCGGTGAGGACTTCTCACACTTCTTGGCCAAGTCCTCTCTGGGCGATTGGCTCAAGTCCGAGGGTATTCCGGCGATGCACGGTGTCGACACTCGTGCTTTGACCAAGCACCTTCGTCAAACCGGTAGCATGCTGGGTCGCATGCTACTGCAAAAGTCCGGCGCCAGCCCCGAGGTTGCCGGTACCGCCGGTGCCGACTGGAAGTCATACTTTGAGGAGACTGAATGGGTGGACCCGAACACAAAGAACCTCGTTGCTGAGGGTGAGTGATCTACCAAGCCGATGCAGTAAAAAACACCAAGGACATGGTTTCTGACATTTTCTTTTTTTCTCTTAGTCTCAATCCGCGAGCCTCGCCTCTTCACACCTCCCGCCGATGTCGCTCTTAAGCACCCCTCGGGTCGTGGAGTCCGCGTCCTCTGCTTGGATGTTGGTATGAAGTATAACCAGCTGCGTTGCTTGCTTGCCCGCGGTGTTGAGGTTCTGGTTGTGCCATGGGACTACGATTTCCCCACCCTTGCTGGAAAGGATTTCGACGGTCTCTTCGTGTCGAACGGTCCTGGTGATCCCGCGACCCTGACCGTCACCACCAAGAACCTGGCCAAGATGTTTGAAGATGCCCGTACTCCCGTCTTCGGTATCTGTCTGGGTCACCAGCTGATTGCTCGCGCTGTCGGCGCCCAGACTACCAAGATGAAGTTCGGTAACCGCGGTCACAACATTCCCTGCACAAGCATGATCTCTGGAAAGTGCCACATCACCTCTCAAAACCACGGTTATGCCGTCGATTCCAGCAGCCTTCAGAACGGATGGGAAGAGCTGTTTGTCAACGCCAATGACGGTAGTAACGAGGGTATTCGTCACACCAGCCGCCCCTTCTTCAGTGTTCAATTCCACCCCGAGAGCACACCCGGCCCCCGGGATACGGAGTACCTGTTTGATGTGTTCATCAACACAATCCAGTCTACCATTGCCTCCCCCGAGGCTCTTAAGCTGCCCGTCTCTTTCCCCGGTGGCACCAAGGCCGAGAATGTCCTGGCTGCTCCCAGAGTCTCGGTCAAGAAGGTTCTGGTTCTTGGATCCGGTGGTCTCAGCATCGGTCAGGCTGGAGAGTTCGATTACTCTGGCAGTCAAGCCATCAAGGCTTTGAAGGAAGAGGGCATCTACACCATTTTGATCAACCCCAACATTGCCACCATTCAGACCTCCAAGGGTCTGGCTGACAAAGTTTACTTCCTGCCCGTCAACGCCGACTTTGTCCGCAAGGTCATCAAGCATGAGCGTCCCGATGCCATCTACGTTACTTTCGGTGGCCAGACTGCCTTGTCGGTCGGCATCCAACTCAAGGATGAGTTCGAAGCCCTCGGCGTCAAGATTCTCGGCACCCCTATTGATACTATCATTACTACCGAGGATCGTGAGCTCTTCGCTCGCAGCATGGATTCCATCAACGAGAAGTGCGCAAAGTCTGCTTCTGCTTCCACCATCGAGGAGTCTCTGCGTGTTGTCGAGGCCATCGGTTTCCCTGTCATCGTTCGTGCTGCCTATGCTCTTGGTGGTCTAGGCAGTGGTTTCGCGGAGAACATGGATCAGCTGAAGGAGCTCTGCACCAAGGCTCTGGCTGTCAGCCCCCAGGTTTTGATTGAGCGCAGTATGAAGGGCTGGAAGGAGATTGAGTACGAGGTTGTTCGTGATGCCCAGGATAACTGCATCACTGTCTGCAACATGGAGAACTTCGATCCCCTTGGTATTCACACCGGTGACTCCATTGTCGTGGCTCCTTCCCAGACCCTCTCCGACGAGGACTACAACATGCTACGAACCACCGCAGTCAACGTCATTCGTCATCTTGGCGTTGTCGGTGAATGTAACATTCAGTATGCCCTCAACCCCTTCTCCAAGGAGTACTGCATTATCGAGGTCAACGCTCGTCTGTCTCGATCCTCTGCTCTGGCCTCCAAGGCTACTGGATACCCTCTTGCCTTCATTGCCGCCAAGTTGGGTCTTGGTATCCCCCTCAACGAGATTAAGAACTCGGTCACCCAATCAACTTGCGCCTGCTTCGAACCCTCGCTTGACTACTGCGTGGTCAAGATCCCTCGTTGGGATCTGAAGAAGTTCACTCGTGTGTCTACTCAGCTTGGTTCTTCCATGAAGAGTGTCGGTGAAGTTATGAGCATTGGCCGGACCTTCGAGGAAGCTATTCAGAAGGCTATTCGCATGGTTGATTTCCACAACCTTGGTTTCAACGAATCTGATGCCCTCATGTCCATCAAGGGCGAGCTCCAGACTCCCTCTGACCAGCGTCTGTTTGCCATTGCCAACGCCATGGCCGCCGGTTACACAGTTGATGACATCTGGAAGCTCACCAACATTGACAAGTGGTTCCTCAGCCGCCTCAAGGGCCTCAGCGACTTCGGCAAGTCCATGTCCGCCTTCAACGCTACCTCTGTCCCTATCCCCATGATCCGCCAAGCCAAGCAGCTCGGTTTCTGCGATCGCCAGCTCGCCAACTTCTTGGACTCCAACGAGCTCGCTGTGCGCCGCATGCGTGTGGAGGCTGGCATTACTCCTATTGTCAAGCAGATTGATACCGTCGCCGCCGAGTTCCCAGCATTCACCAACTACCTCTACCTTACCTACAATGCTTCTCAGCACGATCTGTCTTTCGATGATAAGGGTATTATGGTTTTGGGCTCTGGTGTCTACCGTATCGGTTCCTCGGTCGAATTCGATTGGTGTTCCGTGCGTACCATTCGTACGCTCCGCGAGCAGGGCCACAAGACCATCATGGTCAACTACAACCCGGAGACTGTTAGTACCGATTACGATGAGGCTGACCGCCTTTACTTCGAGAACATCAACCTGGAGACTGTATTGGACATCTACCAGCTGGAGACTTCCAGCGGTGTGATTATGTCTATGGGTGGTCAGACCCCCAACAACATCGCTCTGCCTCTGCACCGCCTCAATGTCAACATCCTGGGTACCTCTCCCGAGATGATTGATGGTGCTGAGAACCGTTACAAGTTCTCTCGCATGTTGGATCGTATCGAGGTCGATCAGCCCGCCTGGAAGGAGCTGACTAGCATTGATGAAGCCCGCGATTTCTGTGACAAGGTCGGCTACCCCGTGCTGGTCCGTCCCTCATACGTGCTCTCTGGTGCTGCTATGAACACTGTCTATTCCGAGCACGATCTGGCCAGCTACTTGAACCAGGCTGTTGACGTCTCGCGTGAGCATCCTGTTGTTATCACCAAGTACATTGAGAACGCCAAGGAGATTGAGATGGACGCTGTTGCCCGTAACGGTGTTATGGTTGGCCACTTCATCTCAGAGCACGTTGAAAATGCTGGTGTTCACTCTGGTGACGCTACTTTGATCTTGCCCCCCAGGATCTGAGCCCGGAGACCGTCCGTCGCATTGAGGAGGCTACCCGGAAGATCGGTAATGCCCTAAACGTTACTGGTCCTTACAACATTCAGTTCATTGCCAAGGATAACGACATCAAGGTCATTGAGTGCAACGTTCGTGCCTCGCGGTCTTTCCCCTTCGTGTCCAAGGTCATGGGTGTTGACCTGATCGAGATGGCAACTAAGGCCATGATTGGAATTCCGTTCCAGGAGTACCCCCCTGTGTCCGTTCCCAAGGACTACGTCGGTGTCAAGGTTCCCCAGTTCTCGTTCTCTCGTCTGTCTGGCGCTGACCCCGTCCTGGGTGTCGAGATGGCCTCTACTGGTGAGGTCGCTTCGTTCGGTCGTGACAAGTACGAGGCCTACCTCAAGGCTCTCTTGTCCACCGGGTTCCGTCTTCCCCGCCGCAACATCCTGTTCTCCATTGGTGCCTACAAAGAGAAGCTTGAGATGCTGCCTTCCATCAAGAAGCTCCACGATCTCGATTACAACCTCTTCGCCACTGCTGGTACCGCTGATTTCCTCAAGGAGAACGGCGTGCCTGTCAAGTACCTTGAGCATCTTCCGGATCACGAGGAGGAGGACATGAAGTCTGAGTACTCTCTCACTCAGCACTTGTCCAACAATCTCATCGATCTATACATCAACTTGCCGTCCAACAACCGCTTCCGCCGTCCGGCGAACTACATGTCTAAGGGTTACCGCACTCGCCGTATGGCTGTTGACTACCAGACTCCCCTAGTCACCAACGTCAAAAATGCGAAGATCCTGATCGAGGCCATTGCTCGCCACTTCCCTCTGAGCATCATCCCTGCCGATTACCAGACCAGCCACCGCACCGTGGTCCTTCCCGGTCTGGTTAACATTGCTGCATTCGTCCCGAACCTCGTTTCCGCCGGTTCCAAGGATTTCGAGACTGTCAGCAAGGCCTCGATTGGAGCCGGTTTCAGCATGATCCGTGTGATGCCGGTAGGTGTTGATAGCTCAGTCACCGAGTCGCGCGATCTGAAGATTGTTCAGCAGAACGCTCACGGCAAGTCGCTCTGCGACTTCAACATCTCTGTTGCTGCCACCGCCACCAACTCGGACCAGATCATCCAGATGGCTGGTGAAGTTGGCTCTCTCTTCGTCCCCTTCAATCATCTGTCGGGCAACATCAACAAAGTGGCCACTGTCACCAATCACTTCAGCTCTTGGCCCTCAAGCAAGCCTCTGATCACTGATGCCAAGAGCACTGATCTTGCCTCGATTCTGTTGTTGGCCAGCCTGCACAGCCGTAACATTCACGTTATGAGTGTTACCTCCAAGGAGGATATTAGCCTTATTGCTCTGAGCAAGGAGAAGGGCCTGAAGGTGACCTGCGATGTCTCTATCTACTGCCTCTTCCTCTCCCGCGAGGAATTCCCGGCCTGCACCTCCCTGCCCACTGCTGAGGATCAGAAGGCTCTGTGGGAGCACATGAGCACCATCGATGTCTTCTCCATCGGCAGCATTCCCTTCCAGCTTGCTGGCAAGGAGGCCACCCCCGAGTCCGGTATCGCTGAATCTATTCCTCTGCTGTTCACTGCTGTCTCGGAGGGCCGCCTGACCATTGAGGACATCACTGCTCGTCTCTGCGACAACCCCAAGAAGATCTTCGAGCTACACGATCAGGTCGACAGCTCGCTTGAGGTCGAGGTTGACCGCCCCTACGTTTTCCAGAACCCCCAGGCCTGGTCTCCGTTCAATGGCAAGACCATGCGTGGCTCCGTCCAGCGTGTTGTTTTCCAGGGCAAGACCTCTTGCCTCGATGGCGAGATCACCAAGGATGCCGTCAAGGGTGCCGACATGTCCAGTCACCGCATCATCCCCACTTCGCCTGTGCAGAAACCCATGACCCCCATGACTCGCCCGGAGAGTTCCCTTGATAGACACGTGTCTGTCTCTGGCACTCCTGGCCGCCGCTTGCGGGCCATGGATAACGCTGTCCCGGCCATCAGCGAACTTGGTCCTCCCCTTTACGCCGCCTCCACGCAGCTCTCCCCCTCGTTGGCCGATATGCTCTCCCGCTCTCCTTTCCGTGGAAAGCACATCTTGTCTGTGAACCAGTTCTCTCGCGCGGACTTGCACTTGCTGTTCACCGTCGCCCAGGAGATGCGTCTTGGTGTCCAGCGCCACGGTGTCCTTGACCTGCTGAAGGGTCGTGTTTTGACCACCCTCTTCTACGAGCCCTCCACCCGCACCTCGGCTTCGTTCGACGCCGCTATGCAGCGCCTCGGTGGACGTACCATCGCCATCGCCACTGAGCACTCTTCTACCCAGAAGGGTGAGTCCCTCCAGGATACCATCCGCACTCTCGGATGCTACAGCGATGCCGTTGTTCTGCGTCACCCCGAAGCGAGCAGCACCGAGGTCGCGGCCAAATACTCCCAGGTCCCCGTCATCAACGGTGGCAACGGCGCCCTTGAGCACCCCACCCAGGCTTTCCTGGACCTGTTCACCATTCGCGAGGAGCTGGGTACTGTCACCGGCTTGACTATCACCTTCACTGGTGACCTCAAGTACGGCCGCCCCGTGCATTCCCTCATCAAGCTGCTCCAGTTCTACGATGTCCGCATCCAGCTTGTTGCCCCCAAGGCCCTCGCTCTCCCCGAGGAAGTCCGCCAGCTGATTGTCGCTTCCGGCCAGTTGGTCCTCGAGTCTGAGGAGCTGACTCCTGAGATTATCGCCAACTCTGACATCCTGTACTGCACTCGTGTGCAGAAGGAGCGCTTTGTCGACCTCTCCGAGTACGAGCGTCTCAAGAACACCTTCATCATTGACAACACCTTGCTCAAGCACGCCAAGGAACACATGGTCGTCATGCACCCTCTCCCTCGCAACGCCGAGATCGCCGAGGAAGTTGACTTCGACCAGCGGGCTGCTTACTTCCGCCAGGTATGTTTTGAATTCCTGAATTCCCTGAACCCTATACTAATCTACGTTACAGATGCGCTACGGCCTTTACTGCCGCATGGCTCTCCTTGCTCTTGTCTTGGCGCCGTGAATTTAAAACTCTTTTGCCATTATAATTATGTGGGAAAGGGGAATCCTCCATGGGTTCACACGCGCCTTGTTTTTCCTGTTTGAAAAGTTTTGTTTTTGATACTCCGTAAACAGCGATCCAGTCAGCTGTATAGATTAGATGAATCTCCGTTTCATTTGACGGTCACGTTCAGTGTGTATATCTATATTTCTTATGTATATTATGTGTCATGTGTGTGTCATGTGTGTTATGTGTGTTATGTGTGTTATGTGTGCTTTGCGTGTTTTGTGTGTTTGGCGTGTTTTTCCGTTTTGGGTCATTTGGGGTCATTTTGGATCATTTTGGATCATTTTGGGTCATTTGGGGTCATTTGGGGTCATTTTGAGTTTGGACGTTTTTGGGTTCATTTTTGTTTTTTTCTTGGCGTCTTCTGGGACTTGGACTTGGGACTTGGGACTTGGGACTTGGGAACTGGGAACTGGGAACTGGGAATTTGGGGGCATCTTACATTTATATACTGAACAATCTAATTCACTAATTCATCGGACTTTTCAAGTTTGGAATACCCAGCGAGGATCTTTGTCTCCTTGGAATTCTCCTGCATCACCCACATCTCCCATCAACGGGCTCAGTCCATGGACTTCTCTGACCCGCTCCTTTTCGGAATTTTCCCGTCGGAGAACCTCCCATAGGACCCCAACGACCACAATGTTGGCAACCAGATATCCCAAGGCAAACCCATGCCCCAGGAAGAACCGCGGGCTACTCTCGGTGCGGTATAGCTGCGTTCCAAGGACCGCACCCATATTGCCAATTGAGATCTGCATGGCGTTGGCAATGCAACGTTTAGTCTGGCCAGATACGTTATTGGCGGGCCACGATAGCACAATGGCCACCGCTGGGTAAATGCCTGCCGCAGCGAAGATAGTTCCGACATAAGACACCCCAGCGCGGTGCTGTGATAGCAGCAAAATGTATCCGATGCATCCAATGGCGGATGAACCCATGATAAATGGCGCGCGTCTGCGAGTCTTCTCAGAGGCAATCGCAACCCCAATGGTCATGAAGAACGCCACCGCGTACGGTGGTACGGAAAGCAGCTGGGCCTTTGCGGCTGAGTATCCGAGTTCTTTGATGATCGTTGGAAGGAAGAGCGACAACGTATACAGTGGCAAGGACATTGTGTGGAATCCAAGCCCATACAGCCAAACTTTGGGGTCCTTGAATGCATCCAATACTGCCGACCAGGCGAATTCCTCATCGCGAGTGGCATCGCTGTCATTCTTCAAACGCAATTGGACGAACTCCCGTTCTTCCTTTGATAGGAACTCGGCTGTTGATGGGTAGTTATACACCCAGAAATAGGCGGCGATTGAAACAACGATGGTCAACAGCCCTTCCTAAATTGATAGTAAGCTTGTGCCGGTGTATATCAAGATGACATAGTTGGAGGACACACCAGAATGAAAATCCACCTCCACCCATTCAAGTTCCCCACGCCTTTCATGTGAGAAATTGCCTAGAAGCCTGTCAGTTGTGTTTATCTAGTGGAACTAAAAAAAAAAACCAACCCAGGCTAGGATACCACCAAAGGCACCTGCCAGCGAGGCAGCACTGAAAAACAAAGCCACGCGATAATGTTGCTCGTTTCGCTTATACCACATGGACAGGTAAAATACCACACCGGGGAACAATCCACTCTCTGCAACACCCAGGAAGAATCGCGAGGACAGGTATCCAGAGTAATTTTGTACCACTCCCAGGAGGGTAGCGACTACTCCCCAGGCAAGAGTGAGGGTCGGAAGCCATATTCTCGGGGTAGTCTTTTTCAGGATGATCTAGATGCAACTCGTTAGTATATAATCATTTATATTAACATGCATTGCTCACGTTGCAAGGAATCTCAAAAAGAACATAGCCGATAAAGTACAGAGTCAGACCTGTAAGGTACTGGTTTCCTGCTAAATCCCAATTAGCCCTCGGATCGATATCAAAAAACACCCAAGCATACACATGTTGATGTCGGTTGTCATTCCTTCTAGACGGGCATTTCCCACATTGCTACGATCCAAAAAGGAGAGTAAATAGAGTAATGTGAGGGGCGGTAAAAGACGATAGTCCAATTTCCGTAACAATGCCTTTTCGTTGATGCCCTTAATACTTGAACTGGTATCGCTCTCGGTGCCAGTCGGTATATTGTCCTTTTCTGAAGCCATGGCGACTAGGAGAGGTCTTGAATGCTATGTATGAGGTATGGGTATATGTGAAGAGAGGGGGGGGGGAATAGAAGGACTAAAATATCTAGCACATCTAGGACATCTAGCACACCATAATCCGCAATAAAAACATGTTTCCTACGAATAAGATATAAGGAAGTATGAAATGAGCAATATTGGGGTGAAAATGACGAGATCAGCCACGTGAAGATCGGCGTTTGCAGGGACTTGCCTCGAACTAGGATATTCAGATCCAAGTCAAGTATAGAGGTGTAATATTTTCATTAGGTCGAGGGTTAAAGTACTTTGTAGTAGAGAATTACTTCAAGAGTCGCTACATACGTTAAGTATGGGATGTACTATATTGCCCACCCAGTCTAGGCCCCAAATCTACAGTATTGCTTATATTCGCTAATTAGTCATTTCTTACCCTTCATCTCATGCCTTATCCGGCCAGTACTTTTGTACAATGACCTTCTTATTGACCTTGCCCATGGCATTGCGCTCGATCCCATCCACAACCTTCAAAACGGTTGGAATCTTATAAGGAGCCATCTCGTTCTTGAGCTCAGCGCGTAGTGTAGGAAGGTCGAGCGTAGTCTACGTCACTGTTAGTTATGAAAAGAAGACAAGTTTCCGCTGTATGGGGAGAACGCAAACGTACCCCTTCTCGGAACTTGACGACCGCAGCGACTCGCTGGCCCCATTCTTGGTCCGCCAATCCAACTACTGCAACTTCTTGAATCGTGTCAATGGCCAGCATCTTGCGCTCCACTTCCAACGCCGAAATCTTATATCCACCCGATTTGATCAGGTCGACAGAAGCACGACCTTGGATGAAGTATGCACCGCTTGAATCGCGTTTAGCAACATCGCCGGTCTTGAACCATCCATCCGCTGTAAACTCCGAGGCCGTCGCTTCCGGTTTCCGCCAGTACTCGCAGAACACATTGCCACCCTTGACCTCAATCATGCCGTCCTCATCCACTTCATCCACGATCCGACCAGTTTCTTTTTCGGTCAGTCGGACCTCGACGCCGGGCAACGGCCACCCCACACTGCCATCGATACGCTTTTGAACATCCAGCCCACAACTGATCGCCATGCCGATCTCGGTCATTCCATATCGCTCCAATAAAACCTGGCCGGTAATTTCGGCGAATTTTTCTTTGATTGGCGTCGGGAGGGCTGCAGATCCACTGACGACTAGCCGTAGAGCACGAGCTCCAGCCCGTGCGACACCTTCTCGTTCCGTGCCGCGGATATGAGCATCGAAGTAGTCATTCAGACGGGAGTATATGGTCGGCACAGCCATGAACAAGGTCGAAGAGCCGTGGTCCTGCCATCGTTCCCAGATCACTTTCGGATCAAACTTCGGATGCATCTCCACCGTGGTACCACTTAGGAAACTGGCAGCCAGGCCATTGATGATACCGTGGACATGGTGAAGCGGCAGCACGTGAATAAGACAGTCTGAGGGAGAGTATTCCCAGGCCTTGACTAGGCAGCTCGCTTGGAAAGTGATATTCTCGTGTGTCGTCACGCAGCCCTTGGGGTTTGATGTGGTTCCAGAGGTATAGATCATCAGGGCGCGGCGAGTGAGCGCAAACGGTGGGGAGAAAGAAGGTAAAGTCGGGGCCTCATTTCGAGAGAAGGGCTCTAGTCCCATGAATGGTATATTGTCGGGGCATCCTTCGCGCAGCGAAGGTGCGATCTTCTCGAAATGCGGATGCATAATAACCAATGAGGGGTCCGAATCTCCGACGGTGTATAGCAGTTCCTTCACTGGGTGACTTGTGCCTTGTGAGCGGTTAGCATTGGATTTAAGAGGTTACGCATCGCTTGCTGCGCATCGCTTTCACCTACAAAGTGGAACGCAGACACCTCCGGCTGCCCACACGGCCCACTGTGTAGCAACGTAGTCATATCCGTTCGGAACTAAGAAGGCAATGCGTCGTTCTTCCAAATCCCCTGTCAATCCCAATTGCTCAATTATGCGCTTCCTTAATGCTGCTGCATCCGCTAGTAATTGGACGAATGTGAAGGACTGTTGTTTGGTGGTGTCGACGACGGCAATCTTCTCGGGATTCTGTGCATGTTGCTCTGCTGCAACAAATAGGGGTAGGGAAGGAATCGGCATCTCTAATTTGATCCTTTGAATCTCAAAATAGACAGGTACATAAGAGCTTGGAGAAGGGGGGGGGGGGGGGTGGTTAAAGGTGAGGAATTCCAGGGGATCCAGCCCAGCTATTTAGCCGATTGCGGAGAGAACGCCCATGTCCACTTTGTGGAGAGAGAAAGATTCACAAACAAGGTATCCAAAATAATTGCTCCCTATATTCACCTATACTCCCCTATATATGACCACCACTGCCTCTACTGGCATTAAAGTGTGAGTATATACCTAACAGAAGGATATAAAAAGATAATATAAAGATGTGAAAGTAAAGTGAGAGAAAGATGGAGCCGGGGATACCATTTTATCTCCGTCTTGGTTTTAGACATAATTAGTTCATAAAATAATCACGTAAATTTCAAATTCAAGTCGCTAATTCGACAAAATTCCACAACTACAGCATGACTACCGGGGATGGTGCTTGTGCCAGCTCGCCCGGTTGGACGGTGCGTGGGCCATCAAACGATCCTTCAACATTCTCTTCCAGTCCACGAGCCACCAAGTCGGTGAAATCCACACCCACTTCCACCAAGAGAGCGGCATGATCGTGCACAATTTCGAGACATTTCTGCCAAACCGATGTGCCACGCTGCACGCTGCTAAGCTGTCGACTGAGCAGAGCGTTGAACCCGTCGAGGTGATGCTTAGCCCAACGAATGCAAGAGCTGCTCATTACGCTAGGGAAGCATTGTTGATAGATACTGATGGTGTTTTTGATCAGGGAAAAATAGACGTAGGAGATCTGGAAGATGTATAGAGGCAGATCACCTTCAAAGATACAGGCCCTTGGAAAGAAAAGTCAGCATGCGAATATAAGCTTGTGTGATAAGATGAAGAACATACCGGATGCGTTGGCCGATCACGTCCGAACGTGCCTTCAGGTACGTCTCGCGTGCCTGATCCTCAAACCCTAACCGAGTCAACCAGGTAACGTGAGTCCTGGTGGCCGCCGGGAATGAGTGTTTGTCGACTAGTGCACGCGAGAGAATGCCAGCAAGCCGAGTCGCTCGCCCGTCGACCTTGAAATTGATGACGTCTTGTGCAATGGTGTTGCCCTTGAGACTCTTGGCCAATTTCCGTAGTCTCTCGATGCTGAATACAGATGCTTCGAATCGCTGAAGCGCAATATCGATATCGAGCTCGTCCACCTGCCCTTCAACCCAACGGAGGTTCTGTTGTTTCCCATCCACATCAATACGTAGATCGGATTTGTCTCTTGGGGTATCGGAAATATCGAAAGCCTCTGGCTTTTTCTGGGAAAGCTGCCGACCAGCCAGATATCCATATGCTTCCAGAGGCTTACTGGCGGCTTCGGTCTCCGAGCGCATGGTTCGACGCAGATCCTCGACGGTTTTGCGGAAAGTTGCCAGAAGTTCCTGTTTCGCCGACACGTCATCATGGCGATATGTAAAGGGCTTGGATCCTACACGGATGCTGATCGATCTCCCAATGCCCCGATCCAAAGCCTCTTCGCGCGCTTGTCCCGTTCCCAAATTTGCCCCAAGATCAATCATATCAACGTCGTTGAGAAGCCAGCAGTCTTCTGCCACTAGTCTCGTTGGAACAGGTCCTCGGTGGTTGGGGTGACTTTGGTCGACCCGCTTACGCTTCTTCGCAGCCACGAGTAGGTAATCGTTCAACAACACAATGTGAACGGGCCGTCTTGGTTTCCAGGTGGCTGAGTCCAGCTCGACCCAATTACCAGTCTCTAGGACAATGTGCCGTCCTGGCGCAGCTGGAAGCCACTTCTGTGACCCTTCCACTGTTTTCCACAACGTTTGTAGCTGTACACTCCACATGCTCTCAAGGTTGGCGACCGAGCTGCGATTCGCATTCCGTTTGGGGAAAGAGTCCTCCATCGGCGACATGGGATTAGGTGAGTTTCCTACGCTTGTTTGTCCGAGCGCCGTTGTCAGCTCCGCCATGAGGGTACGGAGGGTCCGCATTTCATCCTTGAGCTTCTCGGCCTCTTTACTGATTTTGATGAATTGGGTGCGATTCTGATAGACATTTTGCTGCAGATCGGTAGATGTTCGGTTTTTGACTTTGCGTAGACTTTCTTGGTACTTTTGGATATCTTCCTCGGACGCATTGGCGAGAAGACTGGCCACATCTAGCATCGGAAACTCCTCGTTAGCTTGCACAAACACCAAACACACAGTGGCAGGTCATGGAGCTCTAACATCGATCAACTGGAAGACTGGGATCTCGTAGAGCATTAAGGTCGACTTTCGGTGCTGGTGAGTTCGGGTCCGCTGGTGACAGTTGCCTCGGAAGAGCTGCCGGTGCTAATCCGCCGCGACCCCCAGGCACCTGAGTTGGAAGTGCCGGAACAGGAGGAGCATTGCCATCAAATTCGGGTGCGCTATTGAATCGAGTCGAGTATCGTCGTTTTACTAAATCCGAGGTCGCATCGTTCTGGGGTGCCCGCTCACGTGTGGGGATTGCGGATGGGCCTGATTCGGGAGACCTGGTATTGGGAGGTAGAGGACCGGAGATGGGTTTTGGGGCGCTAATCTGAGGGCGCTGCCGACGAGACTTGCTCCTCAGAGTTAATCCTCGGCCTTCCATGGTGATATCACTTGGCAATGCAGCAATAATCAAGGAATGGAAATGTCGCGGGAGGTCAAGGGGATGACGCTCGGGCTGCTGTGATTATATAATCCATAGGCTCCGGACATCTGGACATCCTTTTGAAACATTTTTATCACCCCCAACCACCACTCAAACCACTATCACCTCTCCAAGTTCCCATACACTGGCTGGGACAAATTCGATATCTCTAATTCCATCTTATCCCACATTTTCACCATGGCTTTCCGAAACACTGCCATCGTCGCCGGCACGATTCTGACGGGAGTTCTCGGTATGTAGCATTCGTCTCGCCGCGTTCTTCAATTTTTAACACTTTGTACCAGCCTATGCCGTTTATTTCGATCACAAGCGTCAAAGCGATCCTACCTTCCGCAAGTCGTTGAAGAAGAACAACAAGAAGGTCGAACAAACTGCGAAGCAGGAGGCAGAGGCCGGCGCCGCAGCCCGGGTCGCACATCTGAAGAATGCGCTCGAACAAGTGAAGAGGAACGGTGAACTTCCAACAGATCTTGAAGAGAAAGAAAGCTTCTTTATGAGCCAAGTCGCATTGGGCGAATCTCTTTGTGCTTCGGAAGGTAAATTGAATCCACTGTCCCAGCCTATTTCGATTCCGAAGGGCAGGATCGAGATATGATTATAGCTCGCAATCGGAAGGGAAAAAAAGCAGATCGCTAACTGCATCTCCAGGCTCCCAAGTTGAAGCAGCAATTGCCTTTTGGAAAGCATTGAAGGTCTACCCCCAGCCTCAGGTAAGTACAAAAACATTTCCGATGTCACCTATTGCCTTGTCCTTCATCATCTGCAATATACTAACTGCTATGATTACTTAGGATTTGATCGGAATTTACGACAAGACCGTTCCTAAGGAAACCCTCGAAATTCTCGCCGAGCTTATCGCACTTGATGGTGGTCACTCTGCCGGCCCCAAGACTGGCACCGACGACAACATCGAATAGAAAACTGGACCTGATTTCTCAACAACTTGTATTTTAGATGGAATTCTCAAATTTGTATCACATAATTTATATCCCGGGGAACTAGTATGTGGGGGTGGAAAACAAAAGGAGTATGGATGAAGGCTACCATATAAGTCTGATTGATGGCGATTCATTGCCACATACTCCAATTAGATGGAGCAGCAGAGATACCACCAATCTAAAGCAACCTCTTCACTTTTGGCTTCTTTCGAGGTAAATAACCTTTCCATCAGGAAGATGTCTATAGACTGGTCTATTGCTAAAGGAGACGATCCATCAGAGCTGGGAACCCTTTTTTATTTGAGACTCTAGCTATAAACCCGTACTCTGTAGAGCTACCTCCGCCACTATTGATTGCCGAGGTATGCTTTTGGCTCCAAGACTTTAAGTTAGGATGAAGGCGGGATCTATAAGTCTGATTTATTCCAGTCTATTTAGAAATGGCCAAGGCAGAATTTATGTGTACTGCATACATATATATACATGTAATAGAATGAGAGTATCTACATCGGTAAGAGGTACGAATAGGAATTTCCGAATTAGGTGGCTGTTCGACACCTGCAAAACAAGGCTACGATCTCCGAAGCCCTAACCACGCCTAACCACACCTGGGCATAATCTCACTAATTTTTCAGAGGCTTCCTTGGAAGGTTGAAGATTTTTGTTGCCTATATGGAATACCCCTGAATGTATTTCAGCACAGCCCAAATAGCCCAGACGTGGCGTTCAAGCAATCGTTATTGAAGGGTATCTTGGCCTTGGGATTCTTGGCCGGGACTTGGCCGAGTCCATCTGAGGGAGGAAAGAAGAGAGAGAAGAGATGGACTTTGATCATTTTGATATACAATATAATTTGAAATTTGATTGTATACTCCTGCATACCAATATACTAAATAAGTGAAACGAACCTCGGAAAAATGTGAAACTTCCAAGACTCCAAGATCCTCTAAGAACCCCTATTATTTGTTCAGAGACTGCGGTTCTCCACTAAATTGAGACCGCTGATCAAATTATTCCAATCATTTAGATTGGAATTATCTCTCATTTAAGACCTTTAAAAGTCCTTGGAGTCCATTTTTCTTTCTTTTCTTTTCTTTGAGTCGTTCCTTCTTTCGCGCCGTTGCGCTGTCACTCATTAAACATTTTATCTTGTCTCATCTTATATCTCCCTATATATTTTTGTTTTATATACCCTTTCACAATGATTGTATGTACTATCGCATACATCTATTAAACCAAAGCACTAACTTTTTAGTCTTACACTCGTCTCTTCGCATCCGTGTGTGCGCTCGCCGGCACCGCGGCCGCATTAACCCCACTCGAAGTCAGCGGCAAGGACTTTGTTGACTCGAAGACCAACGATCGTTTCCAGATTATTGGTGTAGAGTAAGGCTTCCTTGCTGTTTCTTGCCCACATTCTACAGTGGCTAACTCCTCAATAGCTACCAGCCCGGTGGCTCGTCCGGCTTCACCAAGAAGCTGGATCCTCTGAGCGATGCAGATGCCTGTCTGCGCGATGCTGCCCTCATGCAGCGTCTGGGTGTAGGTCCAGACCCTATGTTCTTATCGTACAGCGACTTATCTTCATAGGTCAACACTATCCGTGTCTACAACCTGGAACCCTCTCTCAATCACGATGAGTGCGCCTCGATCTTCAATGCCGCCGGTATTTACATGATTCTCGACGTCAGCAACCCTCTGGCGGGTGGCTATCTGGACCGCAGTGCCCCATGGACCACCTACAGCGCCATCTACTACAAGCAGGTGTTCGGTGTTATCGAGGGCTTCAAGAACTACGACAACGTCCTGGGCTTCTTCGCTGGAAACGAGGTGATCAACGAGGACGCCCATTACTTGACTCCCAAGTACATGCGTGCCGTCGTTCGTGATATGAAGGACTATATTGCCAAGAACTCTAAGCGCGCTATTCCTGTCGGATACTCCGCTGCCGATATCCGTAATATCTTGATGGACACCATTCACTACTTCGAGTGTGACCTTAAGAACTCGACCTCTTCTCGCGCCGACTTCTTCGGCCTCAACTCCTACTCTTGGTGCGGTCCCGCCACCTACAAGTCCAGCGGCTTCGATGAACTCACCGAGGACTTCACCAACGCCACCATCCCCGTTTTCTTCTCCGAGTACGGCTGTAACGATGTCAAGCCCCGTATCTTCACCGAAGTGCAGGCCATTTACGGCGTGGAGATGACCCAGGCTTTCTCTGGTGGTCTCGTTTACGAGTGGACCCAGGAGGACAACGAGTACGGCCTGATCAAGATCAAGGACTCCAAGACCGTGACCACTCTTGTCGACTATGATAACTTCCAGAAGCAGCTCAACAAGCTTGATATGGACCGCATCATGTCAAGCAATGCCACGCAGGCCAATGTCAAGGCTGAGGAGTGCAGTGTCTCACTCATCGGTGCTAAATCCCGCGGCAAACAGCCTTTCTACAACGCCTGGGATTTGCCCGAGGTTCCTTCCAAGGTCTCGGACTACATTAAGAATGGCTTGCCCGATGCTCCTACCGGCAAGTTCGTGTCTGTTTCTTCCACCACCATCCCCCAGAAGGTGTACGACCACACCGGCAAGGAGATCACCGGTGTCAAGTTTGAGGTGAAGAGCAGTGTCAACACCCCCTCTTCTTCCTCCACTTCGAGTACCTCCGAATCGGGTACCTCCGATTCTTCCTCCAGCTCCGGTACTTCGATCCCTAGCAACGCCGCCTCTCTCAATGGCGTCCCCTCTCTTGCCCTCGGTGGTGCAGGAGGTTTCTTTATGCTGATTGCATCCCTTCTTTAATTGCCTTGACTAGTTCATCCTCAAGCTTCAGGTTCGGACCGAGACAACCAAGAGCTGATATCGGGTCTCGATGATTTATTTTTCTGTACGAGTTACTCGTACCTTCTTCGTCCAGCTTTCTTCCGATTGACTGGATAATTTGCACATGATTCCTTTGGAACAATTTACATACCTGGCTCTTCTTTTCATATTTTCCTTCCACCAACAAACCATCGCTTGTACGTTCGAAGGAGTTCGTAGACGAAATGCATTGTAGCAAGAAACCCTTTTACTGTCTGCTCTATTTGTCACTGGCATTCCTGTTTCTTCCTCTTGCGTAAACACCACAGTTTGGAAGCATAGATTGTAGCGTCAATAGCCTTCCCTTGATTGACGCCTTCGGCTCTGGTTCTCAAGACCCGCTTCAGAATCTTTCCAGAGACACCACTAGGAATCTCACCGACCGGGATGATCCCACCAGTTATTTCCACCCTTTTGGCTATAACATACGGAAATGTCTATAAAACAGACACCTGAAAAGAGATATGATAAAACCTCATAAGCGACTAACTTAAAGTGTGGATGTCATTCTATGATCATATATAATACTAGATACTCCGTATATTCCGTTTCTCTAATCACACCATGGCCAATGACAAAAGCTGGCTCTCAACCTCCTTCAAGGGTATCATTAAATTAACAGACCCTATGCCCTCAAGCTGGAAAATCATTGCAAAGTCAACGAGCATGTTAAGCAGCTTGAAAACAAGCTACACTCCTCCCTCGCCTCCGCCAAGTTCCTGTCGTAGGGCCAATATCAAGCACAACGCCTTTCTTCATATCGCACAGCAGATTCCCTCAATTAAGGGTGAAGCCTCAGACCCTATATCTCGAGCTTGTGAAGCCACCCAATTCAATCCTCCTGAGCTCAAACCTATCAAACCTTCAAGGAAAGAAAATCCACCAATACACTCAAGCTCTTAGCACGGCAGCAGGGGACCCTGGGCACGTCTGGGCCAGTCCCAGGAGGATCACCTGGATAGTTTTGGAAAGGGTAGAGGGCTTTGCTCTTGGTGACGAGGACGGAGCTGGTGCATTCTGCCAACTGTCGCCAGATACCCAAATGACCATTCGCAGGGTGTTCCTCCAGGAATTTAAGTGAGTAAACCCCAAGGAGACTAGAGAAATGCTGATATATGATAGTGTCGCTGCAAAAATCGGAGTACTGCCAGTCAACGAAGGCCCACACAGCGCAGTATGGAGTGAAGAGACGCAGACTATGTATGTGATGTTAGATAATTCGGACTTGGGGCTAGATATTTCAATATAGTCATTTTGTAGGCTTCCGAGACCCCGAGTTCTTTGGAGCCAAATTTCCGATTGGTCCAGAGATCTTCCCATTATTCGAGATTGATAAGCTTCCTATGCAACAGGAGTCTGATCCCCTTTTTTTTGATGTTACAGCGTGGGCAAGCCTTTCTAGAGGGTGGTCAATGGCATCAGAAGGATAGATTTGCAGTGTGCTATCTTCTCTTTTTTTCTACTTTGCTCGGTACTGTTGCTCAATAGCACTCGATTGAAGAATGTTTCGATTCAAATGCAAACACTTGAAAATATATGCCCGTTCCTCTGGGACATAACACGCAAACTGAAAATGCAAAGTGCAAAACTTGTTGGCTCTAAATAACCCTCGCTTTCCCCTTGCCCTTGCCTGATGGCGAGGCAGGTATTGGTCCCGCGAGAGATGGGAATTCCTCCCACTCCTCCTCCCCATCCTCGCGACTCTTGCCCTCAGCCAAACTAAGTTGGATCGCGAACTCCAGGTCATCCATCTCCTGCTGTCTACTGCTCTCAGCCTCCTCGGCTCCAGGCGATGGCTGTCGAGGCGGACATACTCCCTTGGCATACTTGATAGGGATAGACGAAGCTTGGTCAAATGGCCAAGCAGCACCTTGCTCTTCAAGCAGGCTAAGGCGAATTGCTTCGGCAAGTTCGTCGTCATCCTCATCGTCTGTGGGCTTTTGATAGGGAGACGACGAGGAAGACACCTCGTCAGGGCCAAACAAACTAGGACCAACAGTGTCGAATGAAGCGCTTGTGGCCGAGCTGGAGATTGCGACGCTGTCCTTGGGTTTCGCCGCATCGCTAGAGCAGGCCTCCTCGCTTAGGAGTTGGGCATACGCCAAAAGCTGTTCCTCGTCGATGTCTGGTCCAAGAAGATCGATTCCGAAACGCGCACTCAAATGTGCTCGTTCTTTTTCATCAGCAATTTTCTGACGCTCCATATCCACGCGTTCGTCTTCAATGAAGTCCTCGATTGCACCCCGACCACTATTGTTAAAACGTTGGCCTTCGGCAGCCCCGTTGCTGCCACGCAGTAGGTGGCGAAGGCGGCGCTTGCTGCTCTTATACTGATCAGCCTCGGAGGAACTGTACGACCAGTATCGCAAGTGGGTACCGAGTGATACCATTCCACGCAGGACGGTCGGGTCGGAATCAAGGCAGATAGCGCCTGTGGCATAGTAATTGTTTCCAACACCTAGAATAGAGGCCTCAGCCTGCACAAGCCGACGACGGGCCCGGGTCGAGAAACGGGAATTGACCGTCCGGATTGGCTTGGTAGATGACGCTAATGGATCCCAGGCTTGCACGAGGCCATCGTTACCGCCATGGACAAGGTACAACGACGTGATGGCCAAGGAAGATACCTGGGGCGAGTCTGTTTGAATGGTGCGCAATGAGGAGATGGAATTGATGATCTCCGTAGACTTCGCCGCCGGGGCTCGGATATCCCAGACAAACACCATACCCGTGCGGGTTCCAACAGCTAGGTATCGAGCGCGTTGCCCAGGAACTTCCAGGCCCGACCGCGGCTGATCCATATGCGGTAACATTGGGGAAGATGTTGCAGACGAAGGAGAGCTCCCAGACATAGCCAAAAGAGGATCCTCTTCGGCTGTGAGAGTCGCGAAAGTGGATACATCCAGCGCACTAGCGCTCACTTCCGTAGATTTGCGATCGCCAAAAACAAAATCTGATAGACACCATCCGAAGTGGGTCGAAGGTGAGTCCATCCGTCCGGAGGATCGAGGAGGAAGACTGCTGGTGATGGTCGGACGTGGTATGTTCACCGGGCCGCCGAAGAGTGATGGCAGAGTTTCCGAATCCAACATGGGCTCTGGCGTGGCTGGCGTGGCTGAGCTGAAACCAGACCTAGAAGCAGTGCGCATGAACCGCCGGATCGACGCCTTTGCGTCTTCGCCCGAGCCGCGAGCGATGACAATAACCGACTCGCCTGCCCCGTATCCGTCATCGCCAGCAAAGTCCACCTTAAGATCGCGCTGCATGTCCCAGCTTTCGCAGACTTTGCGGAAGTATTTAGGCTTGAAAGACATGAATTTTTCAATCTCCTTGGTTTCGGCAGCAATCTGGTGTTCATTGAGGCCCATGGAATCCGATGACGATCGCGGACTGTAGCTGCCATCGACCAATTCGCGATTAAAGGGGTCTGGGCGTGCCACACGTCTGCTCGCTTCGACCATTTCCCAATGCACACTTCTACCAGTCTTCCATGCCATCTCGTCAAGCTGCTCGGTGTTTAGTTTGGCTGTGAGTGGGATATCAGGTGCCCGAGGAAGTTCAGTGAGGTAGAAAATTTCTCCTAGGGCATTAAGAGCAACAGCCCAGATTCGTTTTCCAGAATGGCGCTTGGATGAATATTGATCGTCCACGGCAATTCCAATAATAGGAACACCAGGGCACAGGACCCATCTAGCAGTCACTTGACCTTGCTCGTACCGCCTTTCATAAGTCGGATGAGGGCCCAGAGAGTACGCAGTCAACACGCCGGAAGACGATCCAGACAGCATCCCCACCAGCCCCTGGGTCATCTTGAGGATGTGAGGGGATTTGGCAATCCACACCGAACAGACAGCATGTGTGATCATGTTCACGGCGGGGATGCCGAGTGGTGGATGAGAAGCTAAATCCGAAGATCCCAAGAAACGACCACGCTGCTCCGTCGTTGAGATAAAGTAACTGCGCCCCTGGGGACAGCCTTCGCCATATATCATGCCATATGGTTGACTGACGTCCATCAAGTTGGGTACACCGACCATATCACCCGATCCGAGGCCGTACTGCGCTTCACCAGGAAACGTATCGGCAAAGTGGCGGAACATTTGGTGGTCGGAGACACCCCAGGTGCCAACTTTGACGGTTGATGGGTCACTGGAAGACGCAATCCCTTGCTCTGCGGCTCCATGGATGAAGAGAGGGTTCTTGTCAGGCCTGAAAGAGGCATGTATATGACTGACCGGAAAGAGGAGCTGTGATGTATACGTGGCTATGGCACTACCATGGCGAGCGCTCGCCGTGCGTACAGTTCCATGCTTCTTGGGCGGGTCGAACCTCGCCGGTTTGCCCCGGGATAACGATTGCATCAAGCGAGTGCGCAAGATGTATTCGCTGCGCCAGGAGGCTAATGCGGTCAGCCTCGCAAAGTATCGCCTGTCCGACTGTAGATCTGTCGCATCGGTATTAGTACTCCGACCATCCTCAACGGCATGGGGCCCGGGGAAGAATCGCGAGAAGGCGATTCTCCAAGCATGAGGAGTGGTCACTAGCGCATGAAATCGACGGGACACCAATGTTATGGCGGACAGGGATTGTGGAGGTAGATGCGATAGGATATGGGTGAGAACCTCTGGAAATCACGGTCAGGATTGATTGCGCCGCGAGGGTTGCAGGTCACCTACCATTCGGAAATGCCTCCAGAGACGTTTGCGACTGTCTAACAGAAGCCACTAAGCATACCCCAGCATTTGCTGCTTGTCTGAGGGGAGTGCGAGCATTCTCATGCTGGCTCACCCGGTGGACCGAGGGCGGGGAAGAGCGACCGTCGACCCCGTTCAAGGACGCGTCGGATTCGACTTTTGTCGACATGCTCGGGACGTCTGCAAAGTCTCTGATATCCTCTCCCTCGAGGAAATCAGAGACTTGAGCGCCGTCGAGGTCATGTCCATGCTGGGTGGGACTGATTGTGACTGGGTATGAGTCAACGGGGGGTGTATGTTGAGACACGACAGTAGGCTCTGGTTGCATAAAAAGGTCTTGACGGAAAGATGAGGTGGTAGCGACTGAGCCAGCGAGAAAGCCTGGGTCAGTCGAGTCAATAAATGCGGGAGGAAAAGGAGATTTATATGAAAGGGAAGCGATGTTGAAAGAGGGAAAGAAATGGGCGAGCAAAGAAACGGAAGAGGCAAAGTGGCCATCCCGCACATTAACTTGGATATCGCGGGCTATACTCTGTATGTTGCATACAAAATCGACTTATGCCTACATTCTTACGTTCAAGTTAAGATAAACATGACATCTTTTGTGGTGTCGCTTTGTATGGTTTTTTATATGCCTTGGATGTCTCGGTTTAATAGCTAGAAAGATGAAAATGCAGTAAACCCCCATATAATCAGGAATATATTTGAAAAGGTAGTACTTCATTTTTATTATACAACTAGTAGAATCTTATTGACAATTATTATACCCTTTTTTAAACAATTTTTTCTCCCTATGTTGCACTTCCACGAAATTTATACTGAATGGCTATCCGGAACGCGTTCAGCACGTGACAGCGCGACAGAAGCCTATCAATTCTCTCAGGACTTCATTGCGAAAGTAATGTGCTTTTCCTGGAATAGCTCATCGATACTCGGCAGTTTGTCAGTCATTTCCCCGGTGTCTTATCAACCCTCGATACCTTGCATACACAAAACAACAGCGCTGGATGAGGCACGTGAGTTCAGTCGACCAAGATGCCTGGAGCAAATGGTAAGACACTCTTGATACCAAATTGGTATGCAGCTTACTGATACTCTCTATAGAGGCAGAAACCATTCGCATTCTCATCTCCACTGATAATCATGTCGGCTACAATGAGCGAGATCCCATCCGTGGGGACGACAGCTGGAAGAGCTTCCACGAAATAATGTGCCTGGCCAAGGAACGGGATGTCGATATGGTTCTCCTGGCTGGAGATTTGTTCCATGAGAATAAACCATCACGGAAATCCATGTACCAGGTCATGCGGTCGATTCGCATGAACTGTTTCGGGGACAAGCCGTGTGAGCTGGAGATGCTCAGTGATGCAAGTGAGAATTTCCAGGGCGCGTTCAATCATGTCAACTATGAGGACCTAGATATGAACGTGGCGATTCCGATCTTCTCCATCCATGGAAATCACGATGATCCCTCGGGAGAGGGTCATCTGGCCGCACTAGATTTACTACAAGTCTCGGGCCTTCTCAATTACTATGGCCGAACCCCGGAGTCAGACAACATTCAAATCAAGCCTGTCTTACTGCAGAAAGGCCGGACAAAGCTTGCGCTGTACGGAATGAGCAACGTTCGAGACGAGCGACTGTTCCGCACCTTTCGCGATGGCAAAGTTAAATTCTTCCAACCGTCTGTCCAGAAAAGCGACTGGTTCAATTTGATGTCTGTACATCAGAACCATCATGCTCATACAGAAACCAGTTACTTGCCAGAAAACTTTCTTCCTGAATTTCTTGATTTGGTCGTTTGGGGCCACGAACATGAATGCCTGATTGATCCTAAGTTCAATCCAGAAACCAAATTTCATGTTATGCAGCCAGGGTCGTCTGTCGCAACGTCCTTGGTGCCTGGAGAGGCTGTTCCAAAACAAGTCTCGATTTTGAGTGTAACAGGCCGAGAATTCAAGAATGAACCTATCCGATTGAAGACGGTGCGGCCATTTGTGATGCGGGAAATTGTATTATCCGAAGAAAAGGGAGCCCAAAAGCTTGCCCGCAAAGAGAACAACCGCACAGAAGTAACTCGGTTCCTCATGTCCATTGTCGAAGAACTGATCGAAGAAGCCAATGCAGAATGGCTAGAGCTGCAAGGCGACCGCATTGATGAGGACGATGATGAAGCACCGGAAGCTCCGCTTCCTCTCGTTCGTCTCCGTGTGGAGACTTCCACACCTGAAGGAGGTAGCTTCGATTGTGAAAACCCGCAGCGATTCTCCAATCGCTTCATTGGTAAGGTCGCTAACGTGAACGATGTGGTGCAATTCTACCGGAAAAAAAAGACTGCTTCTACTTCGCGCAAGGATGATAAATCCGTTGATGAAACGACCGTTTCTCACCTCTCAGCCCTTGACACCGTGAAGGTCGAACAGCTCGTGCGCGAGTTCCTCTCATCACAGTCATTAAGCATTCTGCCACAAAATTCTTTCGGAGATGCCGTCGCTCAATTCATTGACAAGGATGACAAGCATGCGATGGAGATGTTCGTCAATGAATCCCTCGAGAGCCAGGTCAAACACTTGTTGGCCTTGGATCGTGACGATGACGAGATGGATGACGAGGGGAAAGAACAAAGCTCGCTAGTCACTGCTATGGAGAAATATCGCGGTCAGATGGAAAACATGTTTTCAAAGGGCGTAAAGAAGCGAACCCGCGGAAAGAAGCGCTTTAAGCCTAAGCCAGATGGTTGGGATTCCGAGTTTGATGGTGTGTGGGAAGACCAGCCTGGTGCTCTTATTCATTCCGATAATGAAGGTGGGGATCCAGCAGAGGAAGAAGCTGCAGGGGATGGGACTTTGCCCGCTCGTGGTCGTACCGCGGCCTCTACTCGGGGTCGTGGCAGTGGTCGTGGTCGAGGTGCAGCGGCCAGTGTGGCCAGTACGCGAACCACTAAGGCCAAAGCTATTCCAGAAAAAAAGACTACGAAGGGTCGCAAAAAGCAAGCAGTTTCAGACGAAGAACCAGACGTGATTATGCTGGATGATGATGATGACGACGATGTTATAGCCAATGTCATTTCCGACGATGATGATGACTCTGACTCGCAGGCACTGTTCGTCAAGCAGCCTCGCTCTACTACTACCGTGAAGCCACGAAAAGTGGCCCCTACGACAGCGACGACTCAGCGCCGCGGTGGACGTGCTGCCGCCTCGCCAGCTCCGTCATCGGTAACTGTCGGTGGGACTGCTTCTCGGCGAGCCCCTGCGCGCGGTAAGCCAGCTCAGTCTACGCTCAACTTCTCCGCTTCACAGGCCAGCGCGCCTCAGTCATCGCGACCTAGCCGCTCAACCCGTAACATGAGTGTTATCAGCGATGGTATTGATGATGATGACGATGACGATGACGCCTTTGAAGAAATGCCGACCAACTCGAGACGTCGTAGGTAATTTACGATTTGCATTCATGGATGTTTATGCCTTTATACATGGATGGAGTTATCGAAAACCACTTGGGCGTTAAAATCAGCGTTGCTACCTTCACAATTCTTCAATGACATCTTGAAAATATGACTCTTAAATAGCAGATATAATCATAATAAACCAACAGGCGCAGTGCTTGGGAGTTGTGATGATGAAGTATACAAAACATGCTAGTCTCAACACGGTAATTAGCTTATATGGGCACCTGGGCAGTTTCCTTTACCCAGAGGTTTTTCAATTAGTCAATACCCGAACAAGATCACTTTCAAGTGGCAAATATGATACTTCGTCAGACAGACCAGACAGATCTCTTTCTATTAACCCCGCATTATCAGCCGAGGGAGACAACCACCTCGGCCGTGCAACGAAGGGGATATGAAGGAAACCCGGCTCAATCCTCGATGATGTTCTATTACCTTTGTGTACAAGGCAATACTGATTAAAGCACAATGACATACAATGGCCGACCCATTCGCATTGCAGGTTCGTTGACTTGCATTCATGATGTACTTAAACTAACCTTTTAGGTGCCTCGGGCTCTGCCTCAGACCGACGTCATGCTATTGCTGATTTTGCGCGTCACCATCCGACCGATCCTATTGATGTCATTATTGCTGATTTCATGAGCGAGTTTAACATGGCCACCGCTGCGGGTCGGCGTGTGGACCAGGCGATCTCGCAGGAAGCAACAGCCCCGGCCTACGAGCTCTCCTTTCTAGAAGCACTTGAGCCGGCTCTGGATGATTTGGCCAAGTATGGAATTAAGCTCGCGGTCAATGCTGGAGTAACTGACACAAAGGGTTTATACGAGGTGGTGATGTGCATGGTGGAGGCAAAGAACCTGGACTTGAAGGTCAGCCAGCGACTTGGCTAAAACTGATCAACAATTGCTGATTTGGATGCCCAGGTTGCATGGGTTGCCGGAGATGAAGTGCTATCTACCGTCCAGAAGGGATTGACTTCCGGGTCTGAATTTCGCAACGTTTATACCGGCGAGCGATTGGCAGATTGGTCATTCGAGCCCATCTATGCCCAGTGCTATCTCGGTGGCCTTGGTATCGCAGCCGCACTCGCAGATGGTGCGGACATTGTATTGTGCGGGCGGGTATCAGATGCTTCACCTGTCATCGGAGCTGCTTACTGGTACCATGACTGGCAGCGAGATGAACTTGACAAGCTGGCGAATGCGTTTGTGGCAGGCCATCTGATCGAGTGTAGCAACTACGTCTGCGGCGGCAACTTCACAGGCTTCAAAGCTCTTGAGCACGCATATGGAGATGGCTGGACCAATATCGGATACCCCATCGCCGAGATATCTGCCGAGGGTGACGTTGTGATCACCAAGCAGACCCATGCCACCGGTGGTGCGGTAACTGTCGATACTTGCACATCCCAACTGCTCTATGAGATACAAGGACCTTGGTACTACAACTCCGATGTCACGGCGGTCCTCGGTGGCATCCACTTCTCGCAGCGTGGCGTCAATCGTATCGCTGTTCATGGTGTTCGATCCGGTCCTCCTCCTCCCACGACCAAGGTCGGCATCACGGCGCGAGGTGGGTTTCAGGCTGAAGCATGGTGGTTTTTGACTGGTCTGGATATCGAAGCCAAAGCTCGCATGCTGGAAGTGCAGATCCGCCAATTGTTGTCACCCTATTCGGACCGATATACATCTCTGAATTTCGATTTACTGGGCTCTTCCCTCTCTGATCCGCACGACCAGAACCGCGCTACTGTGCCGCTGCGCATCGTTGTACAGGCACGGCGTGCAGAGGACCTTGCACCGACACGGTTCCTCAAACCTATCACCGATAACATCATGCAGGGGTACCCTGGCGCTACTTTTCACTTGGATATG